CTCAGGTGTGCCGTGTGCCCCCTGCTTCGTCCCGCCCAAGGGCCGCGTGGAACAGACACACTTGGGGGGAAGAGGAGCTGCAGGCACCTGATGGCAGAGGGTTCGGACACCCCTCCCACCGACGCACGACATGGCCACATGCCTAGGACACTGCAGTGAGCAGCCTGCCCGAGCCTTTGTCTGAAGGCCCTTCAGAATGAAAACCCCACGAAGACAAGGCAGATACGTACAGTCCCCGCAGCCGGGGCCACACCTGGCACACAGTAGGTGCCAAATAAATACCGGAGTGAATGAATGCCTGTCCGCGTACAGCTGTGGCCTTAAATAATCCCTCCACCTCACCTCCCGCCTTCCCTGGCCCATCCGGCCACGAGTCTGCCCAGTGCCGACCCCACCCTCAGGCTCTGCTCGTTTTTTGTGGCCCGATACCCTCCCCTCCCGTGGTGCCCGGTCCATGGTCGACGCTCGGGGCATGTGGAGTGAAAGCCCCCCGGGGGGTCCGCGCCAGGCAGGCCCAGAGCCAGACCCGGGTCAGCATGCTCGGTGTGTCTGGTCTTGTTCTAAGCAACTGAAAACGGATTCCAGCCGAGGAAGCCGAAACACTGGGAAAGCCCGGGAACTGGTTGGGGGGATGCCCCGAGTCCACGGAGATGACCGTGAGGTTGCATCACCAAGGATGTGACCCAGCCGGGGACAGGGGACCAGCCTGCGAAGCGTGGAGCCTGGCCACGTGGCCAGGGCGTGGGGCGGAGCAGGTGCCTTCAGCTCCTGCAAGCAGCTCTGCCTCTCACGGGACTCAGAGAAACTCCCAGTGTGAGTTCTAGTGCTGACAAGCCAAGAAGAAGCCATGTCCGCTACAGAGGCCGAGCTGTGGTCCTGCTACAGCACACTGTCTCCTGAAAGAGAGCCCCCCAGCCCCTCTCCAGCCCCCCATACCCTCAAGATATACGGCTTAGGGAGCCTGGCTGGCTCAGTTGCTAGAGCATCCGAGTCTTGATTACAGAGTCATGAGTGTAGCAGTGACTTAAAAAAAAAAAAAAAAGATATAAGCAAGTCTCAAAAGGAAAAGAATAAACTGTAAGAAAAACTGAACATAGGACAGGGCTAATTTCCTTCGTATGCAAAGAGCGCTACAATTCAAGAAAATGAGAAACATCACAATAGAAAAATGGACAAAGAATGTAAGAGGGACCATACAAAAAATTAATTTGCCAGCAAATATGAGAAGAGAGGCTCAGCTTCATGAACAAAGAAATCCAGGGGCGCCTGGGTGGCTTAGTCAGTTAAGCGTCCGACTTTCGCTTAGGTCATGATCTCGCGGTTCGTGGGTTCGAGCCCCGCGTCGGGCTCTGTGCTGACCGCCAGCTCAGAGCCTGAAGCCTATTTCAGTCTGTGACGCCCTGTCTCTCTGACCCTCCCCTGCTCACGCTGTCTCTCTCTCTCTCCTAGAAATAAAAAAAAATAAAAAAAAAAACATAAAAAAAATCTCAGCAAGACTTAAAAAAAAAAAACCACAAAGAAATCCAAGTTAACAGCAGCACTCCAGCGTTCCTCACCCACAGAGCCCTATTTAAATAAGACACTGCCCATCCCTTCACGAGGCTGTGAAGTGAGGAGTGAAGTGAGGAGCTCTGAGCGAGCTGGCCCACGGGGATTCCATCTCCTTTCAGAAAAAACACTTACGTGATCTTTACACCCAACGTGAGGCTTGAGCCCACAAACCTCAAGATCAAGAGTCACGCTCTTCCAGCTGAGCCAGCCGGCTGCCCCACCATTTGCTTTTATAAAAACAAAAGGGCTGGGGCGCCTGGGGGGCTCAGTCGGTCAAGTGTACGACTTCGGCTCAGGTCATGATCTCACGGTTCGTGGGTTCAAGCCCCACATCAGGCTCTGTGCTGACAGCTCAGAGCCCGAAGCCTGCATCTGATTGTCTCCCTCTCTGCTCTTCCCGGGCTTGCACTGTTTCTCTCTCTCTCAAAAGTAAAGATTAAAAAAAAACAACAATATTGAAAAAAATACTAAAATAAAAGACCACAATTGTAGATATTTTAACAAAGCAAACTATGGGATAGAGCACTTGGGTGTCTCAGCCGGCTAAGCTTCTGACCTTGGCTCAGGTCATGATCTCACGGCTTGTTGAGTTCGAGCCCCATGTCAGGCTCGCTGCTGTCAGTGCAGAGCCCTCTTAGGATCCTGTTCCCTTCTCTCTCTCTGCCCCTCCCTGACTCATGCACTCTCTGTCTCAAAAATTAAGAAAAAAAAAAACCTTTAAAAAAGAAAAAAAAAATCAAGAAAACATTTTGCAGCTCCCACCGGGGCAATGCGTAGCTGAACACGGGCAGAGGTACACAGGCCGTGCGGGACACAGGCCATCTTGTGGTGTCAGGAGCCCGGGCAACCCTGCAAGACGCCACAGCCATTGCTAGTGACACCCGTGCACCCACTTTGGGAATCTGACCCCCATATGCACTTGCACCCCACACAAGACCGAACGCACGTCAGACCCCCGCTGGGGCCCCCTGGAGCCAGCTGGTGGAGCGCCCCCCGCCCCCCCCCCCGGGGGGGCAGAGAGGGGTAAAGGAATCTGCCTGTACTGGCTTTGTTTTCTATGCTGCGCATCCACTCACCACACTCAGTGGCTAAAGCCACACACAGGCGAGGGCAGAGCACAGCCGGGCTCCCGCTCAGGGGCACCTCATCAAAGGCCACGGTTGGTGGAAGAATTCCGTTGCTCAGAGAGAGGACGGAGCTCCGTTTTGTCGCTTCGTGGCGGCACGCCAGCGGCTCCAAGGCTGGCAGCACTCCTCTGCCGCCCCACCAGACGCGCCATCTGTCCTGGGCAGTTCCGCACACACTCAAGGCGAAACGCCCCAGGAGCCGGAATGCCAGGGATGGCCAGGGGACAGAGGACCCCATCACCTTGGAGGGGCGAGTGCCGCCTTGGAGTTGACCTTGGAGCTGACAGACAGACGGACCAGTCCTGGGGAAAGTCCTCCCGCCCTACTCGCGGTGCCTGCACCTCTACCTCGTGCATGAGCTCACCCTCCCGCGGTCTTGCCCCAGCTCCTCGCAGGCATCGGGGCCTCACCACCCATCCAGCAGGACTTTGCGTTTCCGGGCTGGTTGGCACCATCTGCCCTGCAGGCTTCCAGCTCCACCTCTCAGGGATCCTTCCTCAGCCTCAGGAAGGGCTGGGCCAGGGCTCCCTGCTCCCCAGCTCGGAGGGGACACAGTTGAGCCGTCCAATCCATAATCACTTCTGGTACCAGAGTCACACAAGTCGTGGGTGATGTAAAAATCGAATCCACCGAGAGCATTCCAGGCTGCAGGGGACAGAAGTCCTCATGGCCGCAGGTCAGGAGTACGGCAGATCAGGCAGGAGGGCCAGCCGGGCCCAGCAACTTCAGAAGCCCCTTTGGTCGGGCTCCAAGCCCCAGGTCTGCGACATCAGGCTTACTTCCTGCACACCTAGCTTACCTGCAGGGGGCGGGGCCTGTCCTGCACACCAAAGTTCACAGCACTAAGAGACCCCTGAAAGTGGCTTAGGTACAGCAGAGCCACCACCAGACGGGGTCAGGACAGGACTGCCCAGGGAACCGGGTCCTGGAGCATGGGTCCCCTACCCAAGGCCTTTCTCAGCAGGTGCTCCTTACATTGGGAAAGGCTCTGCATTATGGTGGCACAATGCCAGAAGGGGGACACGGAATGCTCACGGGACCAAAGGCCACACATAGGCCTCTTCCCCTCACGCCAAAGGCTGGAGCACAGGTGGTCAGTGGGGGCCATGGCCCCACCCTTTCCTGGAGGCCTGGGGTCTGGCAGGGGGCAGAGCCGCCAGTCTGGGAGCTTAATCCCACTCCTTAGTGGGGTTCTCAGCACAAACCCCACAGAAGCGGTGCCACCGGGCCACCCTGCGTTCACAGGACCATCCAGGACGCTAATTCCCACCCTCTGCACCAGCTGACCCTCCCAGGACACAGGATCGCCAAGTGCAGGGTCACTGAGGTCAGCCCCTTACAAACCGCTCCTTTCAGGTGTGAGAAGAGTAAACTGCGTTTCAAATCACGTTACATGAAAACCTATTTGGGATCTGGTTCCAAACAAGCACAGGCAGCACACCTCTGGTGGAGGCCTACACCCGCGGGGCTGGAGCTCAGTCTCCCGGCTGCAGAGACCACAAGCTCTGGTTTCAAAGCAACACGAGGGGCACCAGACACAGCGCCACCTGCCCACGAGGGCATGCCTGGCGGGGCTCCAGCCCTCCTCGGGGCGGGTACGGAGGTGCCTTGGCTCTGACCGCCGCACAGGCTCAGCAAGACGGAGGGTGTTCAGGATGTACAGATGGCAGCCTTCTGCACCGGAGCTTGGATGCCTTGCCAATGTGGGTGAGGGGGCTGCGACCTGGCACAGAGGTGCAGACAGGCCTGGGAAGGGTCTGGCTCCAAGTCCGGAAACGTCCAAGTAACTGGAAGCACTAACAACTGAGCACAGAAGGGAAACTGCAGGAGTGTCTGGGGGACTCTGGCAGTTAAGCATCGGGCTCCTGACTTTGGCTTAGATCACGAGCTCCGGGTTTAGGAGTTTGAGCCCTGCGTCAGGCCCCACACTGATAGACGGAGCCTGCTTGGGATTCACTCTCTGAAAATAAGCTTAAAAAAAAAAAGAAAAAAAAAAAAAAAGATGCTGGGGCGCCTGGGTGGCTCAGTCGGTTGAGTGTCCGACTTCGGCTCAGGTCGTGATCTCAGAGTTTCTGGGTTCGAGCCCTGCGTCGGGCTCTGTGCTGACAGCCAGCTCAGAGCCTGAAGTCTGCTTCTGATTCTGTGTCTCCCTCTCCCCCGCTTATGCTGTTTCTGTCTCAACAATAAAAAAAAAAAAAAAAAAAAGATGCAGTTCAGTCTTCAGACTGCCCTGCAAAGATGCCATCACCCCTTGCAGGGTCCCCTCAGGAAGGACACACAGGGCCATGTCCCCAGCCCCACCCCTCACACGGAGACCGCAGGTATCCAAAGTTGCTAATGGCACTTTATTTTTTCTTTTCAACATCCTGTTCTGCAGCTTCCTTGGCCCTTTTTGCCCGGATGCCGAAAAGCCGGGCATTGGCACGGGCCATGCGAAGACTGGCAAACGCCTTGAAGTTCTTCTCCTCCTCAGTAATGACCCTGGCTTTCTCCTTCTTGTAGATCTGGAATGGAGCACAGGGGTCAAAACCCTCGCCTGCAGCAAAGCCTGACACAGACCTGGGGTGTACTGCAGAGGCTGTGAGGGTCTACACCATCTGTCCACCCGCTCCTGGAAGGCTACGCTCAGGCCACCAAGAAAGATTTTAATGCCTCTGCCTGGGATCTTACCCCCTCCCCCTAGCAGAGGCAGAAGCAAACACCTCAGTTGTGTTAACAATGGTTGGGGGACAGTGTGCTGTAACCCTGTGAACAAGAGACAACATGGACCAAGGGAGGCCCGGGCCCACTTCCCTGCCTGAGGAACTCAAGGGCCCAGTCACATCCTGGATCACCAAACGTACCCGGTTACCTGTGGCCTGGCCTTTCCAAACAGCAAAGAGGGGATTATTGAAAGAGGATGTGTGACAAATGAGTTCCCAAAGGTCCTTAGAAATGAGAACAAGGCCCTCCCTCAAGGAGCCCACCTGGTGAAGAATGATGTTCCTCCCAGGATTAAAGAAGGGTTCTTTTCCACAAATGCATAAACCTTCACACAGGCCCCGGCTGCCACCCTTCAACACAGTCTCTACCCATAGAAGGCACTGGTCCATCCCCAAACACACCCACTTACATTCCGTATGGGCATGACGGGTCCTGTGAGCTGCGTGGCCAACTTGAGCTCTTCAGCCTGTTGGTTAAGGAAAAAGGAGTCATCTCGAATCCCCTAAGGCTGCAAACTTCTACCCTCAACAGCTACCCCGCTTCTTGCTGGGTGACCCGTGTGCGGGCGCACAGCTGGGCCTGGCTGACAAGCCACCGAGTCTCTGTCCTATCTGGCGGACGGCAGGGGAGAGCACTGGTTTGTGAAGCATCTTACAGAGCCAACAAGCCCTTGCTCCCTGGCCTCTAGCCAAACGGAAGAACCGTGACCTGAACCGCGACCCCACAGGAAAGCCGGGTCTGCGGAGCACAATCAGGGAAAGGTCAGGAAGACCACCGCTTCTGCATCCACACGTCCGTGCGTTGCCGATACAAAGGTTACGCCCTTATCCAGGGGCCTGGTTTGCACCTGCTCCCAACCCCCCCCCCCCCCCGTGCCCGGCGGGGAGGCGCACTCACCGAGCTGTCGCCCTTCTTGGGGGCTGCCGGCCTCCGCGGGAACAAGAGCAGTTTAGAGCGGTACTCCTTCAACCGCTGCACGTTGGCCTGCAGGGACTCCGTGGACTTGTTTCGCCTCCTCGGATCCACGGAAATGCCGATGGTCCGCGCCACCTTCTTGTGGATACCGGCCACCTGCTCCCAGACAGAAGAACAGACACGGATGCAGCCCCCACAGCCCGGGTCGCCGCGCCCCTCCCCGCCCGGGTGCCCGGTCGTCAGATGGAAAAGGGTTCAAATGCGCTATCATCAAGGAGGTGCAGCGATTCCGGAGAATGTCATCACGGGACCGGGGGCCACCAAGCAGAACCCCTCGCGCCTCCCGCGCGGACACTCACCCGCAGCTCCTCCAAGCTGAAGCCCCTGCCGGCTCGCACTTTGGTATGATACCGCACCGTGGGGCACCTGACGATCGGCCGGATGGGTCCGGAGGCGGGGCGCGGGGCGATGCGGCGTGCCTTGGCTTGCCGGGCCTTGCGTCTGGGCGGACAGAGGCAGGCGGCGGTCAGCTGGGCCCCGGCCCCGCCCCGGCTCCCGAAGGCCGCGCGGCCACCAGGCCAAGGGGTGCAAGAGCACCTGACCGAGGGCTCCCCGCAGCCCCACCCGGCAGCGGCGGCTCACCTGCGGATCTTCCGCGCCGGCTGGTTGAACCACGTGGCCACACGCCGCTGCCAGTCCTTGTGGAAATGCGGCTTCAGGATCATGCCATTCCGGCTGGGCGCCATGGCTGCTGCCTACAGGCCTGGGGGGCCGCGGAAGAGAGCAGAAAATCAGGGCCCGAACTCCGGCCAGACGCGGCGCCCGCCCCCAAGGCCCGGGCCAAGGCTCTCTCCCGTCTGCGGCGCGGGCCCCAGGCCCCTCTGCGGCCGCGCCCGGAGCGGCCCTGCACCGATGGCAGCGGATGCCACCCGATGCCGCCAAACGCGCGCGGATCAAGTACACTCACCTCCTCCCGGGGAGAACGGCCAGCGGAAAGGAGCTGCTTCCGCAAAGCACCCTGGGATGGTGTTGGGCTCGGCCAATCAAAAGCGCCGAAGCGTTTCTGCCAATCAGAGCCGGGGATCGCGGAAGTGACGTACGCTCTCCCAGGAGCCCTCGCGGCCCGGGAGAGACACGGCGCCTCCGGCCTCCTGCGGTCTGAGTCCCTGTGGTGCTGGGTGCACGGCGGGCCCCGCGGGACTCCGCGGTCCGGAAGGAAGAGCGGCCAGGCCGGAGGAGAGCAGCGGCTGCGGCAGGGGCCTCGGTACGTGCCCCTGACCCTGAAGCCTCGCCCCCGCGTCCCAGTCTTTGTGCCGTTCCAATCTTTTGAACCATTTGTACTTCTTTCTTTACCCAGAACTAACACTTGTTGAGTGTTTGCTCTAAGCGGAACGTAAGTGCTTCACATGCGTTTTCACGTTGCAGCGCACAAGCGGTACCCTCCCCGAGGTCGGCAGCCGGGGGTAAGAATCCGGGTGACGGATTGCAGACCCTGCACAGAGACGGCGCCCTAAAACCATGGAATTAGTAGCCGGTATAGCTCCTTGACCTCTGCCCTGCGCGTCTTCTGTTCTCCAGGGCGGGTCCAGGAATCCGCCAACACCCTGTACCTCCGTGAGACTTTAGGGAGACTTTAGGGTAACCCTCCTCCTTAATTGGGAGGCGTGTGTGCATCTCTGAGGAAATAGGGTGCTGATACCGTTTTCTGCCCTGTTGAGACACTCTTGAGTGTTAGAAAAGTCAGGGTGATGGCGCGCCTGGGTGGCTCAGACGGTTAAGCGTCTGACTTCGGCTCAGGTCATGATCTCACGGTTCGTGGGTTCAAGCCTCACGTCGGGCTCTGTGCTGACAGCTCAGAGCATGGAGCCTGTTTCGGATTCTGTACCTCCCTCTCCCTCTGACTCTCCCCTGCTCACTCTGTCTCCCTCAGAAATAAAAAACATTAAAAAAAAAAAAAAAGGGTGAGGTTCACTGAGGAATTACAGGGTTTGGCTAGGGACACAGAACGGGTAGAAAGGACAGGGAACATGTGTAAGTCAGGAAGCACCTGCAGTCTGTTGAGACCAATGCACTGAGCCTACACGAAAGGCCAAACCCTCGCCCTGCGTGCTCAGTTAGCAAACAAGGACTCTATCAGCCCCACTTTGTGAGGCTGAAAGTACTTCTCGTAAACTTGGAAGTGATAAGTATCGGTGAGGTTAAAGTTTAAAGCTTGGTCGGCTAATTTCACAAACATAGATGCGCCAAACTGGAGGGTCAGTGATGAGTCCCTAAGAAAGTGGCTGTGGGGTTGCTTGGGTACCTTTGTACTAGTTTTGAGATATTGGGTGTTATTTGAATTTTCCTCTCTGTGACGTGGGAGGAGAGTCTGTATAGATCACAGCGCACAGCACAGTGTTCAGTACAGGGTGAGTGTGCTGGCGATCACGGGTGTCACACAGCTCTGCTTCTGTGATGTGCTGGGAGCCAGTGCGGGAGAGAAGAGAGCACGTGATCCCTCTCAGTCCTGACAAAAACCTGGAGAGGGACGGTCATCTGTCTCACAAGTCACTTCTTTCTGGTGGACCCGGAACGTGGACCCGCAGGCATTCTGTTGTGACAGCACGACTGCAGCCGAGGGGCGCTGGAGAAGCCTCTGCTGAGAGGATTTGCCGTGGCCCACGCCGGTTTTCTTTGAACATAATCCATCAGACGTCAGGCTGCACCTCCCGGGTCTTTCTCAGACCCCTTTCAGTGGATCATCGTGGATCAGATACTGTATTCTTTTAATCTCAAACACATTCCTGTCCCCATCCCCAGTTTCCCTTTCTGGACAGACCCCAGACACGTGCACTTCCATCTGCCCTGACGAGCATCTTGCCCTGAGCTGTAGCCGCTCACGGGTAAGGTGCTGCGTGGGTCACTGGTTGGGGGCTGGAGGTCTGAAAACAGAAACACCGCTCAGAATCAAGCTGGCAGTAAGAAAGTGAAGTTGTAGTTCGAGGACCCGGGTCTGCTATGCACACCATGCCAGATGTGGACTCCAGGATCCCACGCTTGAATACTCCCCACGCTTCCTTCCTTTGAACACTATGCAGAATAATGAGGTAAAAGTGGTTCTGGTATGAAACTCTGCTAGAAATAGGCTCAGCTTTCTTGTTGGGAAGGACAGGAGAATGAACTGTTATGAACTGTTAAGCCGGAATCCTTCTGATACAAAGACTTGGCTGGCCCACGCATTTAAAAAATCATTAGCTATAGGGACAGGCCCTGCCCCCCTGGGCATGATTCCACAGTCACAGCTCTGCTCCCGCAAGGGCCACTGAAGGAACGAGCTAATGCCCCTGGAGACTGCACGCGCTTGGGGTAGCCAGTGATTCCTGGATAAACACACCCGAAGGTGTGGGGGTGTCCTCTGCACAGCCTCCCAGAATTTCCTTGCAGGACTGAGCCCCAGTTACTCCCCGCAGCGCCTGGTCACTCAGCATCTGCACCGGACCGGTGCCCTCCAGCTGGTGCTTTGGGGGTTGGCTTCAAAGAAATGCCACCTGAGACTGTCAACAATAGTTTTTGGAACTCTTCTCCAGACACACAGTCTTTTTTTTTTGTTTTTAATGTTTATTTTGGAGAGAAAGGGAGAGAACCCCAAGCAGGCTCCACAGTATCTGCGCATGACATGGGGTTCAGTCCTATGAACTGTGAGATCATGACTTGAGCTGAAATCAAGACTCGGACACTGAACTGACTGAGCCCCTCCAGGTGCCTCTTGATTTTTTAAGGTAATACAGCAGCAATGACACGATCGTGCCTTTGGAAGTGGGGGTTGGTTATATCCCAAAGCACTTTGCAAAAATTAGTGTGCTCTGTTCAATAAATATGGGCTGCTGGTTGAATTAGGAAAAGCAGTAGCCTAATAGCAAGGACAGGATAATGTTCGCTGCTTCATCACAGAGCTCCTAACTAACCATCTGCTCAGCTTTCCGGAAGTGTAGCCTACCGGTAAATCAGATATAGGCTAACACAGGGATTCCTGTAACGTGAAGGGACCCTTCATGTCAGTGGAGAGGATATTGTTACGATCCTAAACATTTTATTTAAAATGTACTAAATGGGGCGCCTGGGGGGGCTCAGTCAGTTGAGCGTCCTACTTCGGCTCAGGTCATGATCTCACTGTTCCAGAGTTGGAGCCCTGCATCGGGCTCTGTGCTGACAGCACAGAGCCTGGAGCCTGTTTTGGATTCTGTGTCTCCCTTTCTGTCTCTGCCCCTCCCCCGCTCATGCTCTGTCTCTCAAAAATGAACATTTAAAAAAAAGTTGCTAAGAGTATGATCTTAAAAAGTTCTTACCACATTAAATACCTGTGTGGTGACAGATGTTAACTAGGCTAATTGTGATCACTCTGCAGCACGTACGAACAGTGCAGCGTGTTGCACACCTGAAACTGGTATGATGCATGTCTGTTACACCACAACAAAAAGTGAGCTTTTAGGAAACATAACAAAACAATCACGAGTGTAGATTACAGAGAAGAATAATTTGTATTATTAAAGCTTTTTAGTCTTCTGAGGTTGATGATGTTAAATATACACGTTCGCTTTGAAAACGTGACTTTCTTGGGGTGCCTGCCTGCCTCAGTCATAAGAGTGTGTGACTCTTGATCTCAGGATTAGGAGCTCGAGCCCCATGTTGGAAGTAGAGATCACTAAACAAAATACGAGATTTTCCCGGTGAGGGGGCCTCACACTAACTCAGGCGAGGACAGTTCCAGAAACTCCAGTCAGGCCCTGTCCCTCTCTGCTGAGCAGAAGGCAGAGTCAGGCTGCCCAGTGTGGTCTGGGCAGAGAACCACACAGTCAGAGAAGGCTCTTTGCAGGAAGGCCGAGGGCAGCCTCGGTCCACATGCGAGGTAGTAGCGGGGCTGTGACTTCTGGCGCTCTATAGTACAGGCCAGATGACCTGGAGGGGACATCGCTTGTGACCAGCTGGAGGCCCAGAGTCAGCAGACACCTTGCTTCTGTAAGTCAGCGCAGCGAGCCCCCCTCACTACACCAGTGAGCGTTGGGGGTCACCCCCACCCCCGCCGCGTCCACTGTAGGGAAGGGGCCATTTCTTGTGCCATTAACGTTTGGTTTCTGTGTATGTTGTGCTCAGCAAATGATTTTCCGGAGGCTAAACAAACAGGCACGGGCCAATTTAATGGTAAAGTGCCAGGGGATAAGCCTGGCCACATCCACGGTTACGGTACGGAGGGTGATACCCTGGGGCAGGGACACCAGAACCCTCCGAACTGCATACCCATCTTTGGAAATGAATTTGGGGAACTGGGGCAAAGGCAGAAGCTCCCCTCAGAGCTGCCCTCCCTTGGGTGTGACCTGCACCTGCTCACATACCGCGTCTCCTCAGGCCGGTCATTGTGGATTGGGCAGCGGAACTACTGTCAGGAAGTGGCTGTAATCCACGGCTGAACACACTGTGTGGGGCGGGCAAACGCAGGGGGAGCAGCAGGTGGAGATGCGTGAGCGCGTGCGGCACACCCCTGGGCACACACTCGCTGCGGTGAGGGGCCGTCCCGGGGCCTTCACACCAGATTCCTACAAGGGCACTCCGCCGTTGCTCATCTTGTGGCTGAAATTCTAAACCGCAATGCACGATCCCGTGTCTGGGCTCGAGCTGGGCGTGTGGCACGAGATGGGACTCTCTGCCCATGAAACTTACTACAAGGCGCCAGAGCAGGCCCAGCCTCCCCCCCCCCCGCCCCCCCCCGCCCCTCCCCCGGGCGGAGGCCACGCCAGCCGGGAGAGGCTCTGGTGCCCTGATCAGCGCAGCAGTAGGGGGCAGTGTTGTAACGCTCGAGAGCCCAGGGCCCGTCCCCGGTGCTGACGGCCTACGCGTGCCAGCAGCTCGGGCCCAGCAGAGAGACCAGGCGGTGGTTGGCTCGGGTCCTGTTAGCGCTCCAGTGAAGTCGGAGCAGCTGGGGACGCCCCTGCACGAACTCCACGGGAGAAGCTGCTCGGGCCCCACGGCTGCACTGCCCCTGGATCCAGCCGGTGCCCACAAGCCACGGTGCCACCGGCCTGGGAACGCGGATCTACACGCGCACCTGCACCCGCGGGGGAAAACCAGCTAACAAAGCCACGTCACCCGCAAAACCCTTTACTTCTTCCGGGGAGGGCACTCAATAAATAGACCTCGGGAGCCCTTCGGAGACCAGGGAGGGCTGGGAGGGGGGTGCCGGTCTTGGCCTCGGGCAAAAGACGAATGGTGGGGCTGGGGCGCTAAGTGAGGCGCTCCCTTCCCGGGTCTGTGGGGGCCGCCGACCCCCCACAGCACAGTCATCCCCGGCACAGTCGAGGGATCCCCGGCCTATTTGGGCCAAGGTGGCTCTTCCCCACGGAGTGGGGGCTGCTGAGGCGCCTCCTCCTCCCCGGCGTCGTGCGTCTCCCTCTCAGCCTCGCTCCACCGCTGGGGCGCGATCATCTTCTTGGGCCCGTGAGGCGGCGGGCCGATGAGGGCCTCGATGTCCTCGTAGTTCACCACTTCCTTCTCCAACAGGGCGTTCGCCAGCTGACGGCACAAACAGAGCAGCGTGTGAGCCACAGACCAGGACACGGCAGAGCCTTCTGAGAGGCGAGCGCCCCGAAGGGAGGGGACGCCTGTGAGCCGGATGCCCCGGGCGGGCCGCCTTCCCCGGGAAGCGGTGTTAGTGGGCAGCTGGGGCCCAGGATCCCCCCACCTCCAGGTCTCCCAGCTGCCAGCCTCGGTAATTTTTCTGCCTCCCTTCCAAGTCTCTGTTTCCTGCGGCAACTTCAGGTTCCTTTACCAACAAGGCACGTGTGACTGCACACGGGGGCGTGGGTGGGGCCGGAACACAGGGACGGGGGTGCTGGTGCCAAGGGCCAGGAAGGACACGCGGAGGGAGCAGCCTGGTCTCCGGCCGCTCCGCCCCGGCCACAAGGAATGCGCCCGGGGCGCTGCTGAACAGGGTGCTGCTTCCTCTGGAGGGATGGAGTTGCCAAGCCCTGTGACCCACCCCCCCCGACGGTGCAGAGGCAGGACGCGTGTGGCACCAGTGCCCTGTAAACAGGTCCCTGCACTGCCCGCAGCCCCCCGGCCAGGAGCAGCACTGCGGCCGCGCTCCAGCCTGGGGGAGCAGCACCTCATTTGAATGGTGTAAGAGGAAGTGAGGAAACGTGGCCAGCCCACGACCGGCTTCTACAAGGGACATGGGGGTGCCCACTTCGGGAGTCTTCTTCCCAGTCTGAGAGAACCACGACAGACCCCAGCCGGGGGACACGCCACACCCACCAAGCCACTGCTCCGAAAGCTGCCAGAGCCGCAGCAACGGGAGAGCGGGAATTCACAGCCCGGGGAAGCGTAACAAGACGTCACAACCAAGTGTGAAGTGGGGTCTGGGGACAGGAAGGGACGTCGGGTAAAAATGAAGGAAACGTGAATTCAGTGCAGGCTGCAGGTAATGACATATCGACACTGGCTCACTAGCTCACAGAATACACAGCACGTTAATGGGAGACGTTAACAATACGGGAAACTGGCCAACTGGCTGTGGGGTAGAAGGGGCTTGTACTGTATTTGCGGCTTTTCTATAAATCTAAAATTATTCTAAACTGGATATCAGAGCCAAGAGTTCAAGCCCTGTGTGTGGCACAGACAGTACTTAAAAAATTTTAAAAATGGGGACCCTGAGTGGCTCAGTGGTTGCACGTTTGACTCTTGATTTTGGCTCAGGTCATGATTCGAGGTTCATGGGATTGAGCCCCCCCCCCCCCCCCATCGGGCTCTGTGCTGACGGCGTGGAGCCTGCTTGGAATTCTCTCTCTCCCTCTCTGCCCCGCCCCTCCCTCCCCCCCATACATAAATACAGGAAAATACTGCCATGCCCTAAGTGGCCTTCAGAAAAAGGGGAGATTTCAGTTAGACGGGGTGGGGTCCACAGCAGTTAGTTCTGTGGCCGTGAGCGCTGGAAACAGTCCTCGGTGACCGGCTGCTCACTCCGTGGAGCGGTGTCCCCTCCCCCCAGGGACAGGCAGGTGCCCGGAGCCTCACCGCCTGCAGCTTGTCCATGTTGTCCCGCAGCACCTGCTCCGTGTGCCTGTAGGCCTTTGCCACCAGCAGTTTGGCTTCCTGCCAACGGGAGAACAGCGCTGTCAGGAGCGGGACGGCCGCCCAGCGCTCCCAACACCCATGCCTGATCCTGGCACCGGAGCACACGCGGGAGCCACAGGTCAGGAAGCCAACTTCCGTCTTCCAGGGGCCAGGCAAGCACAGCAGCCGATGGCATTTCCTGCCCTACCCGGTCCCTGCGAGGGCCCTTGTTCAAGATGCCCGCCTGGCACCCATTCCCAGCTGCAGGCGCCGCGCCAGCTCCTGGAGGCCGGAGGGCATGTGGTCGCCTCACACGGGCACCAGGCTGAAGGCGGCCCCGGCTCAGGGAGTGTGCAGCGTGTCCTGCAGGTACGGGGACCCCTGGGCCCCCGCTGCGTCCTTCAGGGGGTTCCACGGACGCTGTCACCGGGAGCCACACAAGTCCTCACCCGAGGACAGACACTCAACAGGAGAGGCTCAGGCGTCAGGACTAGAACGCCTGCCATGTGGACCGGGAGACAGGGCGGGGCGCCAGCTCCCGAGACACCTGCCTCCTCACCCACTGCGGCAGGAGACGGCCCGACGCCGAGCACGCGGCGCACACTCACGTGATCCATCATCTGCTGGAGGCCCTGGCTGAAGGGGCGCCGTCCGATTCCTGGGGGCCCCTCCTGTGCCTCGGGAAAGGACACGGGCCCGATGCTGGGAGCCATCCCAAACTGCTTCACCATGGAGTAGGCGATGCGTGTGACCTTCCTCAGGTCGTCCTGAGCCCCTGGAGCGTGGGGCCAAGGAAGAGGTTTCTTTCCTGGCAGTGCCAAGTCAGGGCACAATACCCGCCGCCACCCCCCCCACCCCAGTATAGGCCTGGGCCTGGCAGCAGAGGACCCAGGGGTCAACTGTGCCCTGTTACTGTTCTTTAAAAGACAAGAGTTTTGGGGCGCCTGGGGGCTCAGTTGGTTAAGTGTCCAACTTCAGCTCAGGTCATGATCTTGCAATTTGTGAGTTTGAGCCCCGCATCAGGCTCTGGGCTGACAGCTTGTAGCCTAGAGCCTGCTTCGGATTCTGTGTCTCCCTCTCTCTCTCTGATCATGCTGTCTCTCAAAAAAAAATAAATAAATGTTGGGGCCCCTGGGTGGCTCAGTTGGTTGAGCAACCAGCTTCGGCTTAGGTCATGGTCTTGCGGTCCGTGGGTTCGAGCCCCACATCAGGCTCTGTGCTAGCAGCTCAGAGCCTGGAGCTGCTTCAGATTCTGTGTCTCCCTGTCTCTCTGCCCCTCCCCGCTCATGCTCGCTCTCGCTCTCTCAAAAATAAACGTTAAAAAAATTACAAAAAATAAAAAAATGTTAAAAAATCAAAAATAAATAAAAGACAAGTCTTAAACTGCTGAACTGCTGCCCAGGGTACACATCTGGGTTCACTTCCCTGGCAGCACACAGCAGCTCTGCCAGGCACACCTGTCAACACTGAGCCCCGGCGTCACCGGGAGCAAGTAAGGAGCGTCTCTACCTCTTCTCTGGACACCCCAGTGAAGCAACAGCTTGAGACCACTTAACGGATTCAGAAGTACATTTGTACCCCACTGTTCGAATTCCCCCATCAGGTTCCCCCCTCCCCGCTCACAGAAGGCACGGTGGACGCAGCAGCACTGAGGACACCTGGGCCACCAGGGCCAGCTTCTCACCAGAAGTGACTTTGTTGAAGGAGATGCTCTCCGACACACGGCCACCCAAGGCCATGCACATCCGTTCGAACAGCTGCTCCCTGGTGAAGAGGTGCTGGTCTCTCGGAAGCATCTGAGCAAAGCCCAGCGCTGCGTTTGTCCGCGGTGCGATGGAGACCTGCGGGGTGGCGGGTGGCGGAGTGAGCAGGCGGGGTTCGGGCTCTCCAGACGGAGGCGGGGCAAGGCAAGGCAGATCTTTAACTGGGGGCTTCCAAAGCAGTTAGAGCAGGTCTGCACTGGCCCCATTTTTATGACCAAGGACGACCCTGTCACTGAAGGACGGCTCGCACGCTGCTGGGCTGTGCCGTCCGTGCACAGCCTCACGGGCGCTCCTGCGAAGATGGGGCTTCCTGGGTGGAGTCGAGGAGAGAGGACGAACCCCACCCGGGTCTGTCGCCGCCTACATGGTGGACATGGACCTGCGCAAACCTTGGGGACACCGAGACTGGAGACTCTCCTTGCCTCTGTCCCCCCACCAGCCCAAAAGCAGGGGTGCACACGGGGTGGGGGCTCCAGGCAGCAGGTGCTCTGAAGACGAAGCTGAGAGCCCAACACTTGAGTTATAGCGTAAAAGGCTCTAAGTTATGAGCACGTCCGTAACTGGAGCCTCACCTCTCCCTGGCAGAGCGCCAAGCCTGGCAGTAGAGGGGAGTGGTCTCATTATAACAGCCTGATCTTTTGGGTATGAAACAGGAAATTTTAAATTATATTTACTTCATCCAGGATTTTTCTGCATTTTTTCTGAGATACTACATTATTTACCTTCGGTACTGAAATTTTTAATATCCTATAAATGTGACACCCTTTGTGACTGTCCTCGGCCTGACCCAGGTTAGCTCAATGATGGCTGCATCCACTCATCCGTCACAACACTGGACTTCCGGCCCCCGGGGGACAGCCACTTCACCCACAACTAAACTAACAATCTGCTTTGCTACAACTAATGCCCTGAAAAAATGTTCACGGAGAGCAGGCAAACACGGGGGGCTGGCAGTGGCCACGCGTCCCCATCTCTGGTGCTGGGGGCGCTCGGCACCGCAGCCAGCTCCCTCCTGCGCCCAGAACCCCGATGGCCTGCCGGCTCCAGGTGGACGCAGGGTGTGTACAGGACACGGGAAGATGTGCCCCAGCCTCCCACCTCGTCACGTCTTCCTGAATGGCCACTCGGGTTTCCTGGTCGCCAATCCACACGTTCTGGGGGAGTGGTATTTCTTTCATTTCCACCCTGCGCTATTTTTAAGGTTAGGAGTCATTACATCAATGCTGTCAGAGATGGTGCTAAACTTGGCAACTGTTAATTCCAAGATGAAGAGTGTAGACAGGAGAGGGGGCCCTCAGGTCATCATGTGACTCTGCAGTGGCCTCGCCCCGCAGCCCCCGTCTCCTGCCCTGTGCTTGCCCGGATGAGGGACCCTGCACCGTCGCCTCCTACCCCGTGCCCATGTCTACCTCACACTGTGCTTTCTCTTCAAGCAAAACCGCACGGTGCTTCTGAGGCTGGCTCTGTCCGGGGACCCCTTGGGCTCAGGCCTGCCGAGACCCCAGACCCTCCTGCGCACGCGCACATGCCGCACCTTCATCACGGCCTCGGTGTGCTCCAGCAGCCAGCCCACCACGGCGTGGCCCGACTCGTGGAACGCGACCACCTTCTGCTCTTCTTTGGAGAGGATCTTGCTCTTTTTGGCGGTCCCTGCAAGAACGCCTGAGGATCTGAGGGTCCTGGCCTCACAGAGTCCCCCCTGTGTCATCAGAGCAACGTCCTCACTGGACGCCCGCCTCCCACGTCTGCCCACCACCCACACTGAGAGCTGTTCCTCACTGGTCTCCAGTTTGAAGAGAAGCTCGTTGAGGGGGGAGACCCGGATGCTCCCTGTTTATTCCTGCGTCTGTGAATGCGGGAGGGGCCGGTGCAGCTCCTGCAGGCTTCACGAACACCCTCAGCTCAGGGCCCCCAGGGCCGCTGCGACTAGACGGGGTCCCCCACCGGGTTCCGGGCTCCACACTGCCGTTCCCCCCCGTGACCCTCTACTCCTGTGACCCTGTGTTACTGGGGAGGCTTCAGTCACCACCCCAGGCTCTCCTGGTTTCCACCTCCCCAGGTTTCCACTTCACGCATCCTGGATCAGCCCTGGGTTTGGGGGATTTGGTAGGAGGCTCATCTCCCTCCATTTACTGCAAGGCTATAAATCCTTTCTCACACTGGCCGTAGCAGCTCAGTCACTTCAACCAGATGGTGATATGAGCATCTAAACACGAGGCCACAGGGGCACCTGGGTGGCTCAGTCGGTTGAGCATCTGACTTCAGCTCAGGTCATGATCTCGCGGTTCGTGGGTTCGAGCCCCGCGTCGGGCTCTGTGCTGACTGCCAGCTCGGAGCCTGGAGCCTGTTTCAGATTCTGTGTCTCCCTCTCTCTCTGACCCTCCCCTGCTCACTCTCTCTCTCTCTCAGAAATTAAAAAAAAGTTAAAACAAACAAACAAACAAACAAACACGAGGCCACAGCCGTGCAGGCTGGGCTTGAACAAGGCGTGTGGCAGCGAGGCCGGGGCTCCGGTGCTGAGCCCTGCTCGCCGGGGCAGCGTCATCAGTACTCGGTCATTCTCGCCTTGACGCTGTTGCTGTGAACCTAGCAGTTCCCATGTAAGAATAAGGGACTCCTCACATCAGCTTCTGTGCTGACAGCTCAGAGCCTGCAGCCTGCTTCAGATCCTATGTTTCCCCCTCCCCTGCCTGTGTTCTCTGTCTCTCAAAACACAAACGTTAAAAAAAAGAAATAAGGGGCCTGTATAAAACTAAGTTTGTAGTAAGAAACAGCTACTTTAGGGGCGCCCGGCTGGCTCAGTTGGTTAAATGTCTGACTTCGGCTCAGGTCGTGATCTCATGGTTTGTGAGTTCGAGCTCCGCATCGGGCTCTGTGCTGACAGCTCAGACCGTGGAGCTGCTTTGGGTTCTCTGTCTCCCTCTCAGTCTGCTGTTGCCCCGCTCATGCTCTGCCTCTCTGTTTCAAGAATAAACGTTAAAAAGTAAAAAATAAAAAAACTTAAACAGCCACTTTAGTTTTTCTGTCTACACCAATTCCTAAGTTGCAGCAGGGGCACCTGGGGACACCCGGTGGTGTTTGTACCAGACTTTAACTCCACCGGACGGCGACAGGGATGAGCCCCATCTAGGGACGGCTCACGGCTGCGTGCTCCCCTCCCCACACAAGGCCTGTGCTTCTTTGGAAGGAACAGTTCTCCTTTTTAAAAAACTCTTAGTATCTTAGATTGAATGCTAATCAAGGACAAGATATATAGGGCCATGGAAACTTCCAGAGACTGTGTTAGTCCCTCTTTTTTGACAGAAACCCAGGGACCCCACCCCACTTTGAGCGGAGACAATAAAGCGCGGCCCCGGAGCGGAGGCAGGCGGGGCGGCAGAGCACAGCTCTCGGGAGACCTCTGGCCTTAGGCAGCCGTGGCCTTGGCCCCACACGTGGTCTGCAGCCAGCTCCGAGGCACTGCCAACGGCCCGGGGCTGCGTGCCACTCACACCTGGGTGTGCAAGATCCTTTTCTACTTGAAGAGTCTGTCTGCTCCTCGGCAGATTCTTGGTATTGTATAGTAAGGATAAGTCACACGGTGACAACCTGACATAGAACTGGAACTACTTTACGTGCTGTCCCCTCGCCCACTCATTGCTAATCACTTCTGTCACCTGACATGGAAGCAGACCCGGCTCCCACCACCCCGCCTTCGGTCTGGCTGCCTCTGGGGCTCCAGCCCTGCTGAGAGCACGCCCCTCATACCGGCAATGACTCGCTCCACCGCGTACTCGAAGTTGAACGTGTGCACGGACATGTGGCCTTCTCGCGCGGCGTGCAGCGCGGCCTCGTTGCAGATGTTGGCGATGTCAGCACCTGTCCACACAGCGGGTGAGGGGGGCAGGGGAGGGGAGCCTGAGCAGGCGGCTGACCCCACTCACCCCACTGGCGGCTCCAAAGCACCCCTGCCCCATGCCTCCCAGCCTGTCTGCCACCTGCACGCTCTTTACTGACAACTGTCATCAGCACGCTGAGCACCGCATGGTATTTTATTCCACCTATTAATTCACACCCACGCACAAGAGTAAGAAATTAGCCTCCCCAGTACATGCCAAGATTCTAGTTAAGGGCGCTAAAAAATTCCAAAGGGAAGAAATCATGATAAAAGAGATTTTGTTTATGTTGACCTGTAAAATAAGAGCCACTCAGAAAACATCCTGATTTGCGCTCAGTCTCTGCTAACGAGAAGAGCGGACACACAGCCTGAGCCCGGGAGGCGGAAACGCTCTTGTTGCCTGCGCCACTCGGGGAGGGAAAGTGAGTCCTGTGGGGTCGGGCTCCCTGTGCGCACCCTCACCCCCCCCCCCCGAGCAGGGGGCGTGGGCACCTGGGGGAGGCCCGCAGCCCGGGACTAACAGCAATGGCCTCCATACCACTGAAGCCCGGCGTCAGCTCTGCCAGGCGCTGGGAGTAAAAGCTGCTGGCCTGGGTCAGCTTCAGGCTCCTCAGGTGCTGCTCGAAAATCTCCCGCCTTTCCTGCAGAGAAAGGACCCGCGTGTGGGCTCACCCCTGCCCCAGGGCCCGGAGCCGCCAGGGCCCCGTCCTCTTCTTCTTGTCACGCCCGACCTACATCCATGAGACCAAGTGAGAGCTGCAAGCGGCGCGTCAAGAATGAAACTTAGGTTAAATCACGGAAAGTAAGGGCTTATTTTGTAAAACGTTTGGTTCACATACATTCTGTGACCTTGATGGGAATGTTCCTGATGCATCGGAAAGAGGGGAGGGTGCCGCTTGAGAAGTGGCGTCGGAGGGGAGCTCTGCTCTGCTGCTTGGAGCCTAGGTGCCGCTTGAGTGTCAGACCCAGGATGGCCGCTGGGGGCGGCTGGGGCCCCTTCTCTGGACCTCCGGGAATATGAACCGACTAGCTTCAATCCCTTGCCCTACCCACGTGCGTTGCCCTCACTGCTTGCTGGTTCCTGCTGCCTCGGGACACCACGAAGGCCCGGCCACCAGAGGGCGGATGTCGTCCAGAGGCTCGAAGAGGCTGGAGGGGCAAGGCCTGCATCTGCTCCCAGGGCAGCACAGCTCGTGCTCCAAACCCACGACAGCCTGCAGACTCGGGCAGGAGGAGAGCCCTGGGGTCCGCCCAAGGTTCTGCTACAAAACTCAGCCCCAACATTTAGGGATAAAGAGAAGAACCATCTGGGCGAACCAAACAAGCTGGGAAACCGTGGGAAGAGCGGTAAGCCAAAGAAAGTCTGGATGGACGGGCAGCAGCACTGCGCAGCCACAGCCGGGCCAGGAATGGCCAGCGGCCGGCCGCACTGACCTGCAGGGTGGGAAGGTCGATGAAGACGTGGCGATCCAGCCGGCCAGGCCTCAGCAGAGCGTTGTCCAAGATGTCAGCTCGGTTGGTGGATGCCAGGACGATGACATGGTCCGTGGTGCCCATTCCTGGAGGGACCACAGCTGTTCAGGTTGCGCTCCCCTTTCAGGGCACAGGGTGGGGTGGGTTCCCCTGGGGTCTGCCAGGAATGAACAGTGCGTTGCTCTGAATGGGGATACGAGTCACCACGGAGCAAGCATCCGCCCATCTGCCCCTGGCCGTCAGCCCAGAGGCCTGAGTCTTGGACAGGAACTGGCACTATCACCCTGACAGCGTCTGGGGCGACCACGTTTCTAGAAAACTGCCCAGCAGGCCCAGGGAGCGAGGGGCACTGTCCCCACACTCCTTCACCTGACGCTGGTCTGTGGCCTGGGTTTGGGCCCCAGCTTTCTCGCAAGAATTTAAAAGCAAGTGCACAAGTACCACCGATGGCTCACATTTGTAGGAGAACCAGACTGGAGCCCGATTTGAATAAAGCAACCGCAGAAATGCATCCAAGGAGCAACGAGCAGATCTGAGCCTGACTGGACATCAGAGTGTTAGATCTGTATTTTTAAATTACGTGTTATGATGATACCGTGGCGTCTCTGTGGATGTAAAGAACTACAGTTTTTGCTCCACTACAGTCTGGAGCAAAAAAGACTCAGAACACGTAAGACTCAGAAGTTTGGATTCTGAATTGGAGCAGGAGGTGTGGACGGATGGGGCTGGCCTGCACCAGGGAGGCTTACTGAACGTCCCTCTCTGCTCTGGTGGAGGTTTGACAGCTTCCAGAAAACACAGTAAAAGATAAAGATGCCGGAGGCACCTGGCTGGACCGGTCGACAGAGCGTGCAACTCTTGATCTCAGTCAGGGTCTTGAGTTCAAAGCCCACTTAAAAAACAAGTAAAATGAAAATGTCCCTGATTTACCTTTTGCTAATAAAAATATTCATAATAAGTTGACATTGATAAACATAAGTTAAAACTACCTGTAAAATCTTCTTTTTTTTTAAAAGTTTTATTTATTTCTAGGAGAGAAAGAGAGACACAGCGTGAGCAGGGGAGGGTCAGAGAGAGAGGGAGTCACAGACCAAAACAGGCTCCAGGCTCTGAGCTGGCAGTCAGCACAGAGTCCGACGCGGGGCTCGAACCCACGAACCGCGAGATCATGACCTCAGCGAAAGTCGGACGCGTAACCGACTAAGCCACCCAGGCGCCCCAACTACCTGTAAAGTCTTAAGTGAAATTTAAAAGAAAGGCTACAGAATTACGCCCGGAGAGCGTGTGGCACTGCCACCTCCCAGCAGATTGTCACCGACTCCACTCCCCATGACAGCAGCGAAGGGCCTGGCCGAGCACACTCGCCTGGGATCCACCTCACCAAGGAACTGACCCGAGTCACTGAGAAGCAGCCACCAGGAGGCCCGAACCACACCCACTTCCCAAGGACATCGCCGGGAGCTCTGCCTGTGCGCAATCCCCATGAAAGGCCAGAAGCCCGGATGCTTACTTGACGTGTATGTGCCAGGGGAGGGTGTGCGTGCCGGGGGAGGGTACAGCGCACAGCTGTGACTTCTGACGTGCACCCGGAAACAAGCCAGCACCAGCCAGCATGTGCGGCGCGTCCACCCCGTGCTCCGTCTGCCTGCGCCGTGGTCTTAGGAGAGGTCAGACTCTGACACGGAAAACAAGAGGCTGCGTGGCGAGAGGGGCAGCCAGGACTCCCGGAGCGTCCTCCTTCCGTGGGCCGAGGCTCTGGACACGGAGCTCCGCAGTCACGTGGGACGAAGGTGGGAGCGATGGCTGCGGAAGGGCGGCGGTGGGCAGGGGTGCACACAGCGGCCGGAGTGCGCAGAGCTCCGCCGGCGGATCTCAGCTCCGTCCACCTCCCCACGAAGCCAGGTGCCCTGCGCCACCAGGGTCATCACAGTCACATGAGGGTACAGCCCTCCAGGGCTGGACAGACTCTTCTAGAAACTTTGCGTTTTGACGTAGTTACAGATACACAGCAAGGTGCAACTTGGCACAGGGGGGTCCTTCCGAGGGGCACTCAGAACCAGGGAGCAGCGTGAGGGCACGAGCCTCCTCACCCGTGCGCTTTCTTCTCCGTGGGTCCACTGCACGCGGACCCCCGAGACCGCCTCTCCCGGCGTCCCCGCCACCCGCAGGCCTCCCCGGTCACCCCCGCCCCCAGTCTGTTCTCGTCTCTAGGGGTCTGTGATTCTGACAGTCTTATGTACGTGTCACCACACAGCCTGCAGGCACCGGAGGCCTTTGTCACGCGGCACGATTCCCTCGAGGTCGTCCAGAAAGCCGCGTGTAAGGAGTGAGTTTCCTCCCTTTCCTCCACGGCAATCACGACAGGGGCGCGCACGCCCGCTTTAAAGCTGCGGGCAGGGAGCTCCCGGGTTCTGGCTACCGCACACAGGCGGACGGCGCTCTGCGGTGGGCGCAGGGGTGCCAGCGGCTCACGTTTCTGGTTGCACTACTCAAACGCGGGCGTCTGGGCTCCTGCGCCCTGGCCCGCAGCCACCGGCTGCCCCAGGGACTGCGTTGCACCGGACTCTCGGCAGGAGGTTTGCAGGTGCGGACAAGCGCATTCGACAACACACACGCGAGAGCAAAGAAAGTACGCTAGCCGCAGCCCCTTCGGTCGAGGGGGACACGGTGCCAGAAGCCACCCCCCCCCCCTGCACGACTCCCTCCTGCGAGGGCCGTGCAGCGCGGCAGAGGCGCAGACCCGCAGAGAACACCGCGGGCCGGGGAGCCCGGACGCCGCGCAGGCCGCTGAGCACACGTCACAGGAGGAAGGAGCAAGTGCACGTCCACAGGCACAAAGGGGGCCTGGGCGGCCCAGGGGGTGAAGCACCTGGCTTCAGCTTGGGTCATGATCTCGGGGTTCGGGAGTTCAAGCCCCGCGCCGGGCTCTGCACTCCATGTGGAGCCTGGTTGCGATACTCCCTCCTGCCTCTCTCTGCTCCTCCCCAACGCACACTTTCTCAAAACAAACGAAATTAAATGGAAAAAGCCATGTGGACGGTAGCTGGGACTTTCCGACGGCCCCGCATACTCCTGCTAACACAGAAGCTCGGGTGAAGGCGCCCGTCGGAAGGGGCACTCGTGCAAAGGCCTCTTTCCACGGATCCGCCGTCAACACCGGAAACGGGTCCTGCACGCTCCCCGCAGGGGCCGTCCCGGGCAGGGCCACCTCTCCCCGACCTGTGAGTGGGGGCGGGGGGCTCCCCTCCCGGTGAGCTCTTCCCACGACCGGCACAGTGTCTGCTCCGTGCCCTGCACTTTGATGAGCGAGGCCTGCTGCTCCCCGAGGACTGACAGAGACCCCTCAGACACAGCTGAGGGGCTAAGAACGCCAGCGATGTCTGCACACAGAAGGCCCTGTTTGCTGCCGGCCCAGCCCAACAACGGCCTTCAGTCAGGGCTGCTGGGGCACACGGAGGCTGGGCGGAAGCAGCCCTATTCATGGCAGCACAGAGAAGGCTGGCTCAGAGGAAGACGCCACTTGGTAGGTGCTTCCTGGCGGCTCAAGTCTGCTCCAAAGTGTGCTCTCAGGCTTCAAGTGCAAAACCCAGGACAAGAAGGAGGGCCTCCTGGGCCGAGTCAGAGGGGACAGCGTGTGGGGGCTGCTTAAGTTAAAATCTTTATAGAAAACATAAATAAAAACAAAAATAAAATAATCATACCACATCTATCCAAGAAAAAAAAAAAAAATCTGGGGCGCCTGGGGGCTCAGTCGGTTCAGCGTCCGACTGCGGCTCAGGTCACGATCTCCCGGTTCGTGGGTTCGAGCCCCGCGTCGGGCTCTGTGCTGACGGCTCGGAGCCTGGAGCCTGTTTCAGAGTCTGTGTCTCCCTCTCTCTCTGCCCCGCCCCTGCTCACACGGTCTCTCTCTCTCTCTAAAATAAAACGTTAAAAAAATTTTTTTTTTTAAGAAAAGAAAATCTTACAAAAGTAAACGCAAAGGAAAACAATTCCACGTCACCCAGGAGTCGTACGCTCCTCCAACTGAGGCGGCCGCGTGCCCGTGAGCGGAGCGCAGACGACACCAGCCCCTGGGTTTACACTGGCCTGCTCTGCCCGCTGCATTCCCAGGGTTTTCCTTTCTCTTCTACTATGACCTTGACTTTTCAAAGTTGAAACCCGTGTTTCCTGAGCGCGGTGAAGAGACAGGCCTCGTCTCCACACCACCTACTGAGGGGCGTGCCGACGGCACCCTCCCCTGCGGCAGGTGCCACAGCAGAGGGACACCGGCCGTGCCCGTGAGCGTCAGCCCGAGTTCGCGCCGCGCGGCACCCACCGTCCATCTCCACCAGGAGCTGGTTGAGCGTCTGCTCCCCCTCCGCGCTGGGGGGGCCGCACAGGGCGGTGGGGCGCTTCCTGCCCACGGCGTCCACCTCGTCAATGTACACGATGCAGGGCGCCCGGGCCCGCGCTTCCCTGAAGAGGCTCCGCACGCGCGCGGCACCGAGGCCTAAGGGGACACAGAGGACCAGGAGGGGAAGAGGGGCCGGGAGAGGAGCCCAGCTCACGACCTGCGCACGGGGGAGGACGCGGCCTCAGGAGAGTCCCCGGTGGTGCCGCGCGCGGAGGCGGCTGCAGAGAACACCCAGCAATTCCCCACCCCGGCAGCGTCCCCAGGGGCACAGGCTTCCTGTTTGCCCCCCCCGTCCCCCGGCTCCCCGGCTGCCGCCTGAGGAGGAACGTGTGACGGCAGAGCCGTCCCACACAAATGGTCAGGCAGGCCTGTCCGCAGCCCCCCAGGCAACACCGACCTCCGATGACCTCCACGAACTCCGGGCCGGCCATTGCCAAGAAGGGCACCCGGGCCTCTGTCGCCACCGCCTTGGCCAGAAGCGTCTTCCCACAGCCGGGGGGCCCGAGCAGCAGCGCGCCCTTTGGGACTTTGGCACCAAGCTGAAGGAAGCGCTCTGGGCTCTGGAAAAGCAGCAGACGATGCAGCGCTGGCCACAGGGGCTCCAGACGCGCAGGGAGACGGGCTCACGCGCCACCACGAACCAGCCACGGGTCACGCGGTTCGGGCGCAAGTAGGTGCTCGGGCCCCGAGCCAGCGTCCCAGCCGGCGGACGCTGTGGGCAGAGGTGGGCTCTCGGCCTGCACAGCTGTTCACCACCAGGACACGGCGCCTGGCTCCTTCGCTCTTCCCTCCGGCTCTCACGTCTGCCCCTGCTCTCCGCACGCACACCTACCTTCAGATAATCCACAAACTCTTTGACTTCCAGTTTGGCTTCATGCATTCCTGCTACATCTTTGAAGCTGACACCTTTCCCCGTCTTGCCGTCCACAATCGTGAAACGAGCCATCTTCAGCTGATTCTGGGCAGAAAGAATGAAGGGCAGGGTGCTGTGCGCTCCCAGCACAACTGGCAAGGTGTGCACCCCAGGGCCCCCTCCCGTTGGCCCACACCCCTCCGCTCCTCCAGCCGTAGAAAGGGAAGTGGTGCTCGTGCATCAGGAGCGGTAAGAAAGTTACCTATTATTTCATAGTTTGCCTTACAAAAAAAAAGATAAAACCACCCCCCACCTGAACAAGGCAATTTATCTATGTCTTCTACACATAAACTGTGTTTTTCTATGTGATTTTCCCCACTACTGTGTAATATTCTGGTTTTAAAAGCAATGTGGGAACACTGAGCTCTAGAAAAGTTTGGCAGAAATGTTGGCTGGGAAATTTCAGGCAAGACAAAGCCCTAAGTGAGGGGCGTGCATCTCGGCGCGAGCTTGGGCTCAGGTCTGCCCCAGGAGGGGCACGAGGCAGTCACTCAGGCGCTCAAAAGACACGTGCACTGAAGTTATCACGGTACGTGAATATTTAATTCGACATGTAATTTAAATACAATAAAAATAAAAAGCCCTAAATACCCAAGAACGGGGAAGCCAGCTGAGTACAATACGCCATAAGCCCATGATGAGACGCCATTACAAGTGCAAGTCTGTAGCTACAGGAACACACTCTTGGTCTCGGTTCTCAGGGAGGGGGTGGGGGTGCTCTCTGCAGACTTGCTCCGGCCTGGCTCTGGCCCCCTCCCCAGCTCTTCTGCTGATGGGTCACCGGCCACGTGCTCCCTGCCAGGGAGGGCTCGCCTTACAATGAAGGCTGCCACAGTAGGAGGTTGTGTGGGTACGTGCGTGTGAGTGTTTTAAGTCATCTATATCCAACCTGGGGCTCAAACTCAAGACCCCAAGATCGAGCATCACATGCTCCTCAAACTGAGCCAGGCAGGCGCCCCAGGAGAATGCTTTCAAAGTGTATTTAGAGGGGGCGCCTGGGTGGCTCAGCTGGTTAAGTGTCCGACTTTGGCTCAGGTCATGATCTCACGGTTCGTGGGTTCGAGCCCCACATTGGGCTCTGTGCTGAGCTCGGAGCCTGCCTGCCTCTCTCTCTCAGACTAAATAAAAAAAAAAACTTTAAAATAAAATTCTAAAAAAGTACATGAAGGTTTGGGCAGCTGTCTGGCTCAGTCACCAGCCTTGAAACAGCTCTGGGACCTTCGCCAGCGGGAGAACCCGGAGGATGGGGCAGTGCAGGCTAAGAAACCCTACGGAACACGCTGGCCTGTGCTCCTGCTTGGCTCTGCTACCCCGCGAGGAACCGCACTCAGCAAACACACACACACACACACACACACGAACCCCAGCACCGCAGGCTGGGCGGGGGCGGCACAACTTACAAAGGCACTGAGTCCTCCTTCCCTTCCCGTCATCCCAGCCAGTCGGAACACGTACCACAGGATGGCCAGGCCCACTGCGGTCATCCCCAGGGCGTAGAGGGCACTAGCGGGAGACAGGGTCAGTCAGGGGCGGGCAGCCCACGGACACGCCTCCCCGAGTCCAGGGCCACAGACACTTCGGAGACGGGAAGAGCAACCCCCACTCTGAGACCAACATGCAGAGCGAGTGGTTGTGAAAATGCGTTTCCTTCTCCATCTCTGCTCTTCGTGACCTTCCCCCAGATGGGCAGATGGAAGCTGTGTCCGCGGCGCAAAGCCCAGACGGGGACACCACGTGCTCACCCTGCCGCCTCCAGCCTAGTGCTAGTGCCCAGCAACAACTTTCACGTTTGGTGTATCTCGTAGGCCATCAATCTTGGTTGGTAAGGGAGTGTACGCAGAGCAGGGTGCCCACCCGCCCGGGGCCCCGCGCCTGCAGGGAGACCCGCCACCGCACAGGATCTCCGGCCGTCGGCACGCGCGTGAGTCAGCAGTGAGCCTCCCTGCACACACGCTCCAGCCACTGTGGGTCCCGGGTGCCTGGACGCCCATGACTCTGTGAGCTAGTGTGCTCCCTCGGAGTCAGGCGGTCCCCGTCCCCGCCCACCACACGGAAGCAGGCATTTCTACCGGGCGCCCTGCTTCTCCGCTTTCTATCCCATCTCCTGTCTGCAGAAGACAACAACCCCACAACGTACTGGATCAAGAAAAGCCACAGCAACCACGGAAGGGGCCCGTGGACACCCTCCCCACGTGTGGTCCCTGACTCGCCCTCCCACACGGGGTCTGCCTCGTGCCGGCCGCTTTCCGGTGTGCGTGCTTCATGAGCAGGTGACAGAGCCAAGCCCGGTTTAGCACAGGAGCCCGACCAATGGCCAACGTACTTTCCAAAGAACCCCGTCCGCTTATAGGAGACCGGGATCCGGTCCTGGCCTTCAATGTTCAGCGCGTCTTCGGCAGCTCGCAGCTTCTCCTCGAATCTGTCGATGTTTGCCACCTGCATCCGGTACATCAAGGCCAGCCGCTGGGGGCAGAGAGCAGAGGCCGCGAGTGACACACGGGCCGGCGGGACGACCCCGGACACTGCAGGCTCCAGGAGCACAAGCTTTCGTCTGCGGGTCACAAACTACTTCCGTGTCACAATCCCAACAAAACTTCAATATGTGTGCTTTCTCTGCTTTAAGAAGATGGAGAGTGTGCTTCACACGTACGCTCCCCCTCGCCCCCCGAGCCTCAGCTGTGCGTGCAAGCACAGACACACGCAGCAGCGCAGCTGCCTGCTGCGGTGCAGGCAGGTCGAAGGCGAGGGCACAGGCTGAACTGGAAATCAGCTAAGTGGGTTTCTGGGCCCTCAGGAACCTTCCCTGGATAGAGGCTCCGCGAGAGTGAGCAGGTGGAGCGTCCTGGCATGACGTCACCGCCGCCTCCAGGACAGGCTTCACTGAGAGGAGCCACCGCACTGGGACTCCAAAGGCCTCCTCTGTGAGCCGCCCGCGCCTAGACCGTGTCCTGCCAGTCCTCCTCCCCATCCTCCTGAGGGCCTGGCCCAAATGCTTTCTAGAATTAAGCCGTTCCAAGCTCAGCTTCTAAACACACTCTTCAAATCTACATGGAGCAGCCAGACGTCCCCCCCGGCTCTAAGAGCCTCCGAAGATTCCTTGTGACGTGAGTGGCCCACAAGACTCCATGTCATGGGGTCACAAGGCCACAGGGGAGCAGACGGGGACACCACCAGCCACAACACCCTGATCACAGTCCGTGTGGGACCAACCCCACAGATCCAGACGTCCGATGTGGACTTCATGCCTCCGTCACTCACACACCCGGCCTGGCCGTGGAAACAGAACGGAGACACGTAGCAATGTCCTTCTATCAATTCCAGAAGCCAAGAGCAAAGCGTATGACTCCAGAAACCAATTCAACTCCCCCATCTTCTCTCTGACCGCTTGGCCCTGGACGATCCACTCGCTCCTGCGAGGCCGCCCAGGTCACAGAGTACTCAGGGCCGGGAGGAGCCTGTGCTCTAACTAAATCACAAGCTCGTGTAAACTGGAGAGCAGCTGTGCGTAGGTGCCTGGTGCTCAGCTCCATCTAGAACCCGAGCCGGGCCCAGGGTGCTGTGCTAAGGGACAGAGTCCTATGCCCACAACTAAACTTGTGCCCCCGTGGGCACACCGAGTCCACACTGAATGCCTGTCTCCTAGCATCTGGCCTGGTCTACTTTCCCCACTGTCCTAACCTCTGACAAAAAAGTGGGAAGGAGAAAAAAGAAACAAGACAATTAAATTCAATTCATGATCCTTGATAGGACCGTGGATTAAACGTTTAAAACAGCTCTGAACATAAGTATAGAGATGAACAGGGGCGCCTGGGTGGCTTCGTCGGTTAAGCGTCCGACTTTCGCTTGGGTCATGATCTCGCGGTTTGTGGGTTCGAGCCCCGCGTCGGGCTCTGTGCTGACTGCCAGCTCAGAGCCTGGAGCCTGTTTCAGACTCTGTGACTCCCTCTCTCTCTGACCCTCCCCTGCTCATGCTGTCTCTCTCTCTCTCCTAGAAATAAATAAAACATTAAAAAAAAAAAAAAGTATAGAGATGACCAGCAAACAGGATCAGAGAAAGTGCTGTGGAAAATAGCCCCGTGTGGCCACCCGTCCCGGGCCCACCAGTGTTCTGGTTATGGGGGGAGGGGAGGGAGCAGACTGGACAGTGGTTCCTTCTCCTACCGGGGGTTTCTACAGGCGGCTGCCGGGCCCAGTGCTCTCCCTGGGACCAAACCCCGCCCTCCTGACACCTCCTCTCTCTTAGGGGCACGTGAGGGGGACTGAGCAGACCCTGCTTGCTCCTTCTTCCCTCCTGTCCAAGGGGCAGCCCCTGCCCCCCCACCTCTCAGCCAGCCTCACGGTGCGGGCAGCTTCCTGCCCCCGGCCCCCAGGGAATCCCCTCAACACCCCCAGCACCTCAACTCACCAGCACCCGCCAAAGCTGCCGCACGTGCTAACCTGCCGCTGCGCCAGAGCCACGGAGTGAGCGGGACCTCAGCGCCACTGCTGGCTCCCTCAGCGCTCACGTTCCCTCCCCGTTCCCTCCCCTCCTCTCGGCACACGGTCCACCCCGCAGCTTCCGGCCCCCAGCTCCCTCCCCAGTTGACGCAGGGGAGCTCAGGGCGTGGGGAGCCGCCCTCACTCACCGGCCGCCCGAACACCACGGCCCCGGGGTGCAGATAGACTTCCACCACGTCGCTCTCGGGCACCACCTGTACCCGCTGCACCTCGCCCTTGGCCAGCATCTCGTGGACAAAGTCGTTCCAGGAAATGTTGCCCCCGCTGGTGCTGAGCGCGTTCAGCAGGCTCATGACCACGGCGATGACAAACAAGGTGCGCAGCCGCTCGCGGTACATCTGGTCCTCTCTCTCCTTCCGTCTCCGCTCCTCTGCAGGCGGGGCAACGGGGGGGGGGGGGTAGCATCAGACAACGGCCGCGGGTGGGGCCTGTTTTCAGCCACGTGACGCGAGACAGCTACCACTCACACCCCATTCACTGTCCGCATGGAGCACAAAACCCGTTTTACCGTGGAAAACCTCCCGGGCCCAGCATGCACCGCATGTCCACAGTCAGCTCTGCACCCGGAGTACGGCCGACCCCCGACCCCGCATGGCCACTAACAGCGTGTGCACACGTGCAAGTCATTAAGCACCACCGAACACCTGCCCTCCCCTCCCCCACGGCCACATGTTTAAAAAGTTTGGTCTGTGGACATATTGTGGGGTCCACTTAACTCAAGAATGTCCCCAAAGACCAGCCCTGTACCCAAGCCATCAGGTAACTTCCCCCAAATCACATCACTTGGTTACTGACCCCCGACTCAGAACGTGGACTGTATCATGCCCGTGCCTAGGGGGTGAGAGAAAGACTCGAGACTCGGCCCCTGCCCTTGGGACGCGCAGAAACCCCGGGAGATAAGGTGGCCTGAGTGGCGGTGCGCAGCGGCGCGGAGCACTCGGGGGAGCAGCGCCCAGCAGGAGGGACGAGTAAGCGGACCAGGAGGCCGGAAGGACGTTCAGAAGCTGCTTCCCTCAGGCCCAGGCGCAGAGGGGAGAGTCCCACTTGCAGCCACCGGGGGCCAGGCCACCATCCTCCTCCGAAAACAGCCAGTCAGATAAACCCTCCCCTAGGTTCGCATCTCATTTACTCGATGCTGTCATCTCATAGCCACCCAGCCCCGTCCTCAGAAGGATCTGGCACCTTGGTTTACACACCAGGAAGCCCGGGCTACCGTGCGGCGTGGCCCATCGTCCCGACACTCCCCCCAGACTTTAACCAGGCCCGTCATTAACGATGCCTTCTGGGGTGTGCATGCACAGCCCTCTACCAGTTCTGGCCCCCTCCCCCCACGGCCCTGACCTATGTCAGCAACCAGTTTCCACCATTTACTTCTCCTTCCTGCACAAGCACGAGCATGCACTTGGGGGAAGAGCAGACGGGACCCAGCACACAGGGCTCAGCCCATCTCTGCAAGGACCAGAGCGCAGCCAGAGCTCAGTGTCGGCCCGCTTCCCCGCACCCCTGGCGCCGGAGCCGTCCACACACGCACCTCCTCTCTGACAGGAGTTTAGAGGAGCTGAAGGGCATTTTAAGTCAGCTTCAACATACAAAAAGCAGCTTAGGGAGAAGGCTGTGTCCGCAATCATTTTGAAAACACGAAAGCGGATTTTAGATGTTCTCGCAGAGTGGACTAGAACAGGGGTGCCTGGGGGCTCAGTGGGTTAAACATCCGACTCTTAATTTGGACTCAGGTCATGACCTCATGATCTCATGGGTTGGAGCCCTGCATGAGGCTCTGTGCTGACAGTGAGGAGCCTACTTGGGATTCTCTCTCTCCCCGTCCCCTGCTTGTGCACACGCATGCTTTCTCTCTCAAAACAAAAAAGGAACAGACTATAACAGCATATCCAATATTTAAAGCTCACAGTCACAATGGGCAACTGAATAAAGGTACCAGTTATTCTGGAAAAGAGATCTATGTTGTCGGGTGAGTGGGTAATTAGAGACCATGTATTTTAGTTTAATCTTCTACTTAATTGGTCTATTTATTTTATTTTAAATTTTTAACATTTATTTTTGAGAGAGAGATAGAGACAGCGTGAGCAGGGAGAGAGAGAGGGAGACACAGAATTAGAAGCAGGCTCCAGGCTCTGAGCTAGCTGTCAGCACAGAGCCTGATGCGGGGCTCGAACCCACGAACCGTGAGATCATGACCTGAGCCGAAGTCGGACACTTAACCGACTGAGCCACCCAGGTGCCCCTTAATTGGTTTATTTAATTCCCATCTTGTTTTCTAATTAATAACATTGATAGTCCCCAAACTTGGCAAACTGGGTGAGACTTGCCAGCAGGATGAATGTCTCTCAGAAGCTTTGTGTGATTGGCAGGATCTAACTCAGACACTGAAGTTACTGCCCATCACAGGCTCCCCAGCTGCTGGCTGCACTGCACAGGTCCACGGGAAGTGCATACAAATTTGGGCCCAGGCCACATGGCAACACTGCCCTTCCTCGTGGCTCTGCCTAGGACTCCCGTCACGCCCTGCATGGAAAAGGGCTTGCAGCAACTCTATGACTCACATGCATCTGTTTGCAGGCTGTGAAACAGGGATAGAATTTTTATTTTTTTTATTTTTATTTACTTCTAGGAGAGAGAGAGACAGACAGCGTGAGCAGGGGAGGGTCAGAGAGAGAGAGAGATACAGACTCTGAAACAGGCTCCAGGCTCTGAGCTGGCAGTCAGCACAGAGCCTGACGCGGGGCTCGAACCCACGAACCGTGAGATCATGACCCAAGCGAAAGTCGGACGCTTAACCGACTAAGCCACCCAGGCGCCCCATGGGATAGAATTTTTAAAAGATATGGCTTGGTTTCATTTATTTACTTAAAAAAAAATTTTTTTTTTGTAAGTAATCTCTATACCCAAAGTCGGACTCAAACTCACAACCCTGATATCAAGAGCCGTACGCTCCACCAACTGGGCCAGCTGGGTGCCCCGGATATGGCTTGGTTTTAAATAAAAGATAATTTTGCACTTTTTTGCAATAATTTCTAAAATCATGGGGCGCCTGGGTGGCTTAGTCGGTTAAGTGTCTGACTTTGGCTCAGGTCATGATCTCACAGTTCGTGTGTTTGAGGCCCGCATCGGGTTCTGTGCTGACAGCTTGGGGCCTGGAGCTGCTTCAGATTCTGTGTTTCCGTCTCTCTCACTGCCCCCCCCCCATTTGTGCACATGCATGCTCTCTCAAAAGTAAATAAACATTGGGGCGCCTGGGTGGCTCAGTCGGTTAAGTGTTTGACTTCGGCTCAGGTCATGATCTCACGGTTCGTGGGTTCGAGCCCCACGTTGGTCTCTATGCTGACAGCTCAGAGCCTGGAGCCTGTTTCAGAGTCTGTGTCTCCCTCTCTCTCTGACCCTCCCCTGCTCACGTCTCTCTCTCTCTCTCTCAGAAATAAATAAAATATTTAAAAATAATAATAATAAATAAATATTTAAAATCAATCAAAAGACAGCTTGGATAGGGTGTCTGGGTGGCTCAGTCGACAAAAGATCTTTAAGTTCGCAAGTTCGAGTCCTGCATCTGGCTCTCTGGTTAGCGCAGAGCCCGCTTTGGATCCTCTGTTCCCCCCACCTCTGCCCCTCCCCCAATAACATGTGTGCCTAGGTAAGATGCACACGCTCTCTCTCAAAAATAAACAAATAAAAAAAACAAAAAACCCTTGCATTTAGGCTCTTTGTTCACAAGAATCCAACCCTTTTGAAACAAACCAGCCAGGTGTTTTGACGCATACGGAACTGACCCAACTCCCCCCCACCACTGGCCTGTTTCAGGGAGAAGGATCTGGGCCAGGCCTAGAGGACTCTCCAGGCAAAGGAACCGGGAGGTCCCAGCCCAGAGTCAACCGCTCTGAAGCTTCAGGACGGTTCACTGAAGGCAGGTTAGAATCATCTGAGCTTCTTGACAGAACTGCTCTGGCTTCTGAGCTCAAATCACCTGAGTCCTGCTCCCTGGGCACGAACGAGATGGGCACAGCATGCCCCACCCTGACAGGACCTCACAGAAAGAGAGAGATGGCTGTGTCAGCAGAGAACACCCAGTTACAAGCGTGTGCAAACACGTGCTTTGTACGTTCCCATGTAAGACGAGGTAGAACCCGGCTGCATGCTCACACTGTCGAGCGGGACCGATGAGTAAAGAAAGCTACTTGGCTAGTGTATCAAGAGCCACAGAAATGTTTCCTTTCCGGAACTCACTAGCCTTTCTAGAACTCACTAAGTGTGCTTCTCGTACCACAGCCCAAGGAAACCAAACGTAAAACACATGTATCTGGGGTGCATGCTGGCTTAGTTGGTGCAACATGCAACTCTTGATCCAGGCTTGGGGTTCGAGCCCCATGCTGGTTGTAGAAATTACTAAAAATGAAATTACTAGAAAGAAAATCTCTGAAAACCAACAAACCCCTCCCTGTAGCGCAGGCCACGTATGAAGTCGTGAGGGCCAGTCCATGAAAGACAAAAGGGAAACAGTCAAGGGAGATGTGGAGATGAGACGTTTGGAGAACTGGCTAAGAGAGGGTTCTGGGGGCGCCTGGGGGGCTCAGTTGGGTAAGCATCCGATAGTGTTTTCGGCTCAGGTCACGATCTTAGTCATGAACTTGAGCCCCCAAGTTGGGCTCCGCGCTGACGGCATGGACCCCGCTTGGGAATCTCTCTGTGCCCCTCCCCCACGTGTGCAGGCTCTCCGTGTCTCTCAAACCAACAAAAGTAAGATTTTTGAGGCATAGGAGACGAGACCAAATCTGATCCTGAGATTCTAAACAGAAAATGGCAGTTTAACGTTCTAGACATAAAAGATATTTCCCGTCCCCAGAAGACCCTCCTGCCCCTCGGCTGGCCGGGGCGCGGCATCACCGTGCGCTTGTGGATACGGCACCCGGTGCTTCTCCCCTTGGCTCGTGCATCTACTTTGGCTCCTGACGCCAATGACAGGCATGTAGGGAGCGGCCGGTCACGCTCCCGCTGCCCGAGTCCTCAGGCGCCCAGGAGATGCCGCTGCCTCCTGGCCACCAGGCTGTCCACCCACTGGACAGCAGCCTCCAGGACAGACCCCCTGGGAGGCTCTGGTGGCAAAACTCCTTTCCAGGGCAGGTGTCCATCACCTCCAGGGGGCCCTGAATCAGCCACCTGAAGACAGAGTTTCAAGGCCACCACCGCCAGAGCTGTCCTAGGGTGTCACACCAGGAGCCCTTCTTGAAGACCTCCTGCCCACGAACTGCTAACGCAAGCCCTGGGGCGGGCGGCTCAGGGGGTCACGGTGACGCTCCAGTTCTTTCCAGCAACCACCTGGCACCGATCCCGACCCAGGAGGAGGTGAGAATACTACCTCACAGGCCGTTCTCACGCCTCAGGGCCAAGAAGCACCAACACAAAAGCTGTCCGGAAATTCCAGCAACTGCTGTTTTCACTGAACTTTTCCTTACAGCGGGTCCACGCGGGTCCTAGTGGTACCACAGAGTCAGCTTCCGTCTGCCGGGCAGCTGCCGACGGCGACGCCGAGGGAGAGGGCGGCGGGGACAGGACGCAGCCCCTGCTACTCAGGCACGCGCTCCCGCGTGGGACTGTCCTGTGCAGGGGTCCCACAGGTGAACGTGCGCACACCCACCGCTGGTGGAGACGGGGAGCCTCGCCACGATGGCTGGCTCTTTCAGCAGAAGCCCGTCAGCAGGGGGGAGGCCTGATCGGGGGCGCTTACCGGCAGCCGGGCAGCACCACGGGGGACAGCCAGGAAGGTCCACGGATTCTCCCAGAAAGTCACATTTCTGGCTAAACAAATAACCATCCTCTAACGAAAACAAGAGGCACTCCATCCCGTTTTCTCAGAGCGCGCTACCGATCAAGCTGAAGTTCACGAGGTAAACACTGCCGTGAAGACGGCAGGGGAGACCGTGTGGCTGCCGTCCCCTGCGCCACAGCGACGGTGACCAGACGCGGTGAGCGTGTGGTTCGGCACGGAGGCCGAGGGCACAGCCGCTCCTGCCGGAGTCACGCCACCCGTGGGACGGCGCGCAGGCCCCACCTGTCTCTCCGCAGCACACCTTCCTTCTTGTCACCTCGTTTTTAACTCAGAAAGGCCTTTCCCATTTCAGTATTCAGCCATATTTCCCCCTAATTCTTTTATAGTTCTGTTTGGATTTAACGATTTAATCCATCCAGAGTTTATTTAGGTACATGTGATTTCATCTCTCTCCAAGTCACGAAGCAAATGTTCCAAACCGTTTCCGACACAATCCACCCTTTCCGCTACTGCCCGGAGCGTCGCTCTAGTCACGCACTAACCCTTACGCGAACCCGGCTCTGCTACTGGGTTCTCTGTTTTGTTCCACTGATCTGCCTATTACTGGACCAACTCGTTAGTTTTTGGGGGAGAAAACAATTTTAACAGCTGCCACTATCAGCCTCACCAGCATTTGTGTTTCACTCCTGTAGATTTTCTGCCGAGCCAAACCCTCACCCACCACTCCTGAAAACTTCTCGACGCCGAGTCCCTCTGAGGTCAAGGACACACATGGACCTAGCAGCCCGCGGTGGGGAACACACAGATCTTCAAGTTCAGAGGCCGAGGAAGCGATGGGCTCCCCGGGAGCTCTCTGGGCAAAAGAAACGGGCCACTGCCCACACAGATGCCCCACAAAGGCTGCAATGAGGTCAACGCAGAGTCTGAGACCAGAAACACCTGAGAAATGTCTAAACTGAACCCAAGCAGTGGTCACATAGGTGGTTTCCAGGGTTAACTGCCGTCTCTCAAGAGCCTGAGGGTGGGGGCCACCTGGCTCAGTCGGAAGACCGTGACTCTCGATTTCAGGGTTTGTGAGTTTGAGGCCCATGGTGGGTGTAGAGATTACTTCAAAATAAAACAAGCGGAACAAAAAACCAGCATCTAAGTACATGGGAGACCCCGACAAGACACCCCCCTCTCCACCTGTGTGTCCCTCCCCCGACTCCGCACGGGACAGGCACCCGTGGGGATGAGAAGGGAACAGTAACAGGTTAGTTATGAGGAGAGAATTAATTGTGAAGATGTAGAAAGCACTTAGTACAGTGCTGGGCGCTGTCATTCTTACGGGTTAGCAATTTCCATTATTAGCTCTAAGCAGCCAGCTTCTACCTTAGAGGTCAATTCAGTTCAAAATGACCTTTCTACTTCCCTCATCCTTAGGCCTGATCAGAGCCCTGACTCCATGGGAGATGAGACTCAAGATTCACCGGGGGGGGGGGTGTCATGGTGAACTGGGGCTGGGGCAGGGCTACCCGGCACACAGAGGTCACTCACACGGGACAGCGACGTGTCCTGCTCCCTCCTCGAGGCCGTACGCTGCACCCACCGCTCCTCCGGTGGGGAGACCACACTTCGGCAGGTGGGGGGGGCTCAGCCCAGGTGTCCTGGTGCCACCCTCCCACCCTGGCACTCCTGAGCTCAGGGCTGAGCCGGGAGTCACCGTTCCTACGCAGAGGATAGTAACCCTGCCTGCCTTCGGACACTGTGGACACCCGTGTGGACGGAAGCGTCTCTCTCTACAAGGACCCGCAGGAAAGATCCAGTGATCACGTCAAAGACCGGGGCGGGGGGGGCGCTGCTCAGGGCAAGAGCCACAGGGCCTGGGCCGAGACAGGTTTCCTGTGCCAAGGGCAGAACACACGGGCGACAGCAACCAGGGCAGCCGTTGCCTACAAGGGCCGAAGAAACACACCTTCCTCGTCTTCAGGGCTCCTCCCCTTGGACTTGTTACTGTCCTTGGTCTTCTGCCTCATCCTGGAGGTGTTAAAATAGTAAGTGCCACCTGCAAGAAACAGGGACAGCGTTTAAGACCTGCCACCACAGGGGAACACTCCAGAGAAGAGCAGGTTCTCCAACAACCAAACCCAAACAGAGGCCACCTGGCACCTGCATGCTGAGACTGAAGTTCAGCAGCTACTCACAGACCAATAAGCTACTTTAACTTATGGAATGACTTTGTCACTGCAATTAGCAAGGAAAGAAGACAGTCTTGTGTGTAAACTGAGGAAACAGCTTCTTCACCACACACAGCCACTTTCTATGAATTGAACAGACGAGCAACACGGGCTGCGATGTGTGCGGCAGTGGCCCCCAGCCCCAGGACACAACGCTCCTCACACAAAAGGCTCCGTCCGGCCCGCCATCTAGTTACGTTACTGTTTAAGAGGGGAAATGGGGCGCCTGGGTGACTCAGTCGGTTAAGCGTCTGACTTTGGCTCAGGTCATGGTCTGGTGGTTTGTGGGTTCGAGCTCCGCATCGGGCTCTGTGCTGACAGCTCGGATCCTGGAGCCTGTTTCACATTCTGTGTCTCCTTCTCCCTCCCCCCTCCCCTGCTCATGCTCATGCTCTGTCTCTCAAAAGTAAATAAACGTTTAAAAAAAATAAATAAGAGAGCAAAGAGAGCCTCACAACCATGACCGAGATGGATCTTCCTTTATGAAGTTCACGGAACCACAAATAAGACTGACCTTGACGGCCCTTCTAATGGGTCAGGCTGCCAGGAGGGTGAAGCGTGTGCAGATTCAGATGGGGAAGCAGACAGGCGTGCGAGCTGCTGCTAAGTGGCTCTCCCTGACCACACGGGGGACCAAGCCGTTTGATGTAACTGAGGGCTTGGGATGTTCCGCTCTTGCCCTGTTCAGGCGGGATGGAGTGGGGCGTGAAACCCCAGGTGTAAATCCTGAAGCCCCAAGGCCTCTGATCTAAGATCTCTCTCGAAGATGTCACGGTGTCTCATTGAACGATCAAACTATTTTAAGAATAAATGACTTTTGAGCTGTCTTTAGTTACCTTCTGGATATAAAACATGCACTTTGAAGAGCCTTCCTTTTTTTTTTTTAAATTTTTTAATGTTTTATTTATTTCTGAGAGAGACAGCATGAGCAGGGGAGGGTCAGAGAGAGAGAGGGAGACACAATCTGGAACAGGCTCCAGGCTCTGAGCTGGCTGTCAGCACAGAGCCCGACGCGGGGCTGGAACCCACAAACCGTGAGATCATGACCTGAGCCAAAGTCAGACGCTTAACCGACTGAGCCACCCAGGCGCCCCTTTGAAGAGCCTTCCTAACTGTTCCTGCAGCTGGCTACTGAACATGAAAATCATGGTAAGCAGCCTCATCACTGCTATACACCAGAATTAAAAAAAAACAACAAAACCACTGAAATAAGCAAAAGTGGCCTGTTTAGACCTTAGCCAATCTTCCCTTTTGTAAACCGTTCTTTAGAGCATCTACGGGCTCACAATAGATAGAAGCCAAGGGGCACTTGGGTGGGTCAGTCAGTTACTCGACCAACTCTTGATTAGGGCTCAGGTCATGATCTCAGGGTCATGAAATCAAGCCCCATGTTGGGCTCTGGGCGGACAGCTCAGAACCTGTTTGGGATTCCCTCTCCGTCTCTCACTCAAAATAAGCAAACAATTAAAACAACAACAACAATAATTAGAAGCCAAAATGGGGGGCCTGAGGCTCATTCGGTTAAGTGTCTGACTTCAGCTCAGGTCATGATCTCGCGCTTTGTGGGTTCAAGCCCCACATCAAGCTCTGCTGACAGCTCAGACCCTGGAGCCTGCTTTGGATTCTGCGTCTCCTTTTCTCTCTGCCCCTCCCCTGCTTGTGCTCTGTCTCTCTCTCTCTTTCTCAAAAATAAATCAACATTAAAAATGAAAAATAAAAACAAATAAACAATAAATTAAAAAAAATTTTTAAGTAAAAAAATTTTTTTAAAAATCAGGCCAAAAGTCATCTGAGTGATTTTGTTTCTCTGACAATGTCAAATTAGCAACAATATCCTAACATTTACAAACATCACAGAATTTGCCTATCGATTCTATATTTCAGAAGATACACACCTAAGAGTTCCCAGAGTCTGGCTGGATTCTGGACCAGATGCTGTTTCAACAACGGTCCTGGGAACCTGTCCCACGCAGGGGTCAGCAGGCATAGGTGCAAGCTCTGGAAAGAAAGACAAGGCAGAGGATGGTCACCAACTCCATGCCACACCACTGCAGCGTGACTGTGACTGGTTCCTCGCGTAAAACCTCTTCTGGGAACTCAAATATCCATTTATTGGGCTCACACTGCCCTGAAGTATGAATGGCCTGAGCATTATTTCAAAGTTTTAACGTAACATCAAAACATCAAGGGAGATGCGACTGAGTGCAAGAAATACCAAGGGGCAGGCAGGAAACGCCGGCCGCCTGTGTGCTCAAGGGTCACAGCCTACAAAAGCACATGGAAAGGAGCACGCACGCACACACACAAGGGAGCTGTGAGCGCACAGGGCCCCTGATCCTGACATCTCCAGACAACAGTTCCACACAGAGCATTTTGGGTTCTACAGCAGCTTACTGGCCTTTCAAAATTCTGCTCTCAGGGGCACCTGGGTGGCTCAATTGGTAGGGCGGCGGACTTCAGCTCAGGTCATGATCTCACGGTTTGTAAGTTCAAGCCCCAAGTTGGGCTCTGTGCTGACAGCTCAGAGGCTGGAGCCTGCTTCCAATTCTGTGTCTCCCAGCGGCGCATGGGTGGCTCAGTTGGTTAAGCGGCCACTTCAGCTCAGATCACCATCTCATGGTTCGTGGGTTCAAGCCCTGGGTCAGGCTCTGGGCTGACAGCTCAGAGCCTGGAGCTGCTTCGGATTCTGTGTCTCCCTCTCTCTCTCTGACCCTCCCCTGCTCACACTCTGTTTCTCTCTGTCTCAATAAAAAAACAAAACAAACAATTCCGCGTCTCCTTTTCTCTCCGGCCCTCTCTCTCCCTCTCAAAATTAAATAAACATTAAACAACAACAACAACAACAACAAAGTTCCGCTCTCAGGATGAGCATTTTCCCATGTGAATACGCATTTCCCTAAGGTCAATGACACAACTTAACTTTTTCTCTCTGCTGGCCGTTTCTTCGTTTGCTTTTAATGTCTCCCTTAACCCGTCCCTGCCCTGCCGCTTTCAAGAAAAGTAATACTGTGCTCAACGCTTTCTGGCAACAAGCCCATAACACGTGATCTCCTGTTAGCAAGAGGCGGCAACTTCCTAGCCTACGGAGTTGTTGTCCCATTTAATTAAAACCAGTATTCTTGGCTCACTGAGAAGCAGCAGGCACATTAAGAAGTAGCCACACGGGGCGCCTGGGTGGCTGAGGCGGTTAAGTGTCCGACTTTCGCTTTGGTCATGATCTCGCGGTTTGTGGGTTCGAGCCCCGCGTCGGGCTCTGTGCTGACTGCCAGCTCTGAGCCTGGAGCCTGTTTCAGTCTGTGACTCCCTCTCTCTCTGACCCTCCCCTGCTCACGCTGTCTCTCTCTCTCTGTCCTAGAAATAAAACATTAAAAAAAAAAAGTAGCCACACAATGTGGACTGGACCCAACAAAGGACTAACATCAGCTTGAAAGATACAGCAAACAAAACAAAAACTGTCATTCTTCAAAGTCAGACCCAAACAGTTTGGTTAAACCAGGTAACTTTTCTACTACTACTACAGCCACTGGTGAGGTAACCTGCTGAGATTTCAGTGTGTGAACCACCTACTTCAGCCCTTATTTTCACAGAATAAGCACAGGGTCCGACTGATGGTAATACAGTATGATCTTCCTTTTCAACGGAACTAAAAGGCCAGAAAAAAAAAAGTGTAATACATCCATTGTTGCCCTCAGGTTAAGGAAAGACAGCCAGTAATCTAGAAGAGAATTATAAATCAAACTGATCCTCAAGTTATGATAAAATATAACAATAATACCTTATGACCTAAAATGTGAAGGCTGAACTCCCAAGAGAAGATTGGGTTAAAAAAAAAAATCAGCCATAAAGGCACCAGGACTTAAGATCTTTGTTTTCTGGATGAAGAGTTACCCTGAGCAAAGCCTGGAACAGTCTTGGCTAAGGAATGCTCCAGGAGTGTGAGTCCATATCATGTTAAGCTACAAGACAAAAAGTAAAATAGTTACAAGGTGTTTTGCTCCCACAAAACCTTAGCCCACTACGAGCAACGGCCCAGGGCTATCCGGAACTCATCCCGCTGAGATCTGACCCACGTGGGCCAACTGTGAAGTAATTCTCCGCTAGATTCAATTTGTTTACCTATTTCCTTTAAAATCTTATTTTTAAGTAATCTCTATACCCCATGTAGGGCTCGAACTCTTGATCAAGAGTCCCTCACCACCGACTGAGCCAGCCAGCCCCCCTGGATTCAATTAGAAGATGCCAGAAAGACAAATAAACTGGCAGAAAATATCAATACAGGAAATAAGGGCTACAAAGATCCAAGCTGCGGCCTGTGCGGAGCCTCTTCCAGGGCCGCCCGGGCCCTCCCGCAGCACCCGCACCCCTGCACTGAAGGCACCGCTCTGCCTCAGGGGCCGGCAAGGGCGCGGGGCGGGGGGCGCGGGGGGCCTGCGGAGGGGGAGGGGCCTCCCGGGGCTAGGGGGTTCCGGGGAGGGGTGGCGGTACCCGGCCCGGGGCCGGGGCGGAAGCGGAGTGGGAGGGGCCCGGCCCAGGTTCAGGGGAGGTGGCAGGGGCCCGTCCGGGGGTCGGCGGTTACCTGCTTGGCTGGGCCTCCGGCCCCCGCGAGTCGGACCGGAGGCCTGTAGACGAAGTGCTGGCACCTCCTCCCGACCCCGGTGGGGAGGCCTGGGCCCCGGCCGGAGCAGGAGCCCCGCAGTCGCCCGGGCCCCGCCGTCGGGCCCGGGCGGAGGGCGCGCAGCAGCAGCAACACGGCCGCCATGTTGGCGCGGAAGCGGCGCCTGCGCGGTCGGACCGCCCGGGAGCGCCTGCGCGGTCGCGCTGCCGAGTGTCGGCGTCCCGCGCGCCCGCTGCACGCCCGACGCGGCTGGCGTGACGTCGCGGTTTCCCAGGCGGCTGCCGGTGCGAGCCCAGCCCCGGAGGGAGAGGGTCGGGGCTCCGCGCCGGGCTGCCGGCCGGGGGCGCCGCTGCCGGGGACGGCCGTCCGTTTCCGGGGCGGAGCGAGGAGGGAGTCGCGCTCGAAGGACGGGCGCGGAGACCCCGACCCTCACCCGCGACTGGGACTCGGACCCGGACTCGGGCCCCCGACGCGGGGCTGGGAGTGGGACCCCAGCCCCCGCCCGCGGCCGGGCGGAGCCTCGAGGCAGAGAGGCCGGGGTCAGGCCGCGGGGCGCCCTCCGCCGTTGAAAGGGGGCCGCGGGGCGCGCGTTCCGAGCAGCGAGGGTGGCGGGCGCCCGGGCGCAGGCAGAACCCGCGTCCTACAGACGGTTTGTTTCGGACAGATGACTGTCCTAACGATTTCTGAGGGGGCAGGACGACCTCCCCCGCCCGGGGCAGGGTCATGGCCCAGGAGGCGGGAGGGCAGGGCCGGTTGGCTCGGCCCCGGCCTGCGGCCCCGCGCGTCAGTGCCCGGCTTCGAGACCGCTGACTGCTCCGAGCTGAAAAGCTTGTTTGGTAGAAAAACGAAAAACTAGGTGGATGTATTACAGAGATGGGGTTATTACGGGGTTATTGTAACATGTTCCTGTGCTTTTTTTTTCCTTAAAATTTTTAATGTTTATTTTTGAGAGAGGAACAGAGTGGGGGAGGGGCAGAGAGGGACCCAGAGCCCGAAGCCGACTCCGGGCTCCCAGCGGTCAGCACGCAGCCGGCTTGGGACTGAGGTCCTGACCCGGGCCGAGTTCGGACGCTTACCCGGCTGAGCCGCCTAGGTGCCTGTATTCTGGAAAGTCCTACAGGCAATCTTAGTGCTAACTGGTGCCTAGTTTCGTACCAAATACTGTAATATTGACAGCTCTGAAGTACTCCTAATGTCTGTTTTACAGGTGAGGAAACAGACTCAAAAACATTAAAAGTTCCCGTCCAAGGTCACAGCTGAGAAGTGATCGCACAGAGCCGCAGAGCTGGTACGACAGGTTTCTGGGCCTGCGCTCCCCACCCGTGTTCCAAAAGTAACATCATTTGTGTATCCTTCCCCTCCCTTACTGCTGAAAACTTTGGGACTTTTTAAAAGTGTTTATTTATTTTGAGAGAGGGAGAGAGAGAGAGCTCGTGCACGCGTGGGAGCAGAGGAGGGGCCGAGCAAGAGGGAGAGAATCCCGAGCAGGCTCCTTGCTGTCAGCGCAGAGCTGGACCCTGGGCTCGATTCCAGGAACGGGGAGATGTGACCTGAGCTGAAGTCAAGAGGCAGACGTTTAGCCGACTGACTCAGACGCCCCGGGGACATTTTTAAAATCCAGTGTCCGTATTATGGGTGCTCAGCTCTCCAGCAGCCGGTGCTTCTGCAGAGATTCTGATTTGTGGTTGGTTTGTGGAGAGAGCAGCCCCCCGGCCCAGGGGTGATTTGCACAACTGAGCTAATTGTCTTTGCTTTAGTCTTTTAAGTCCTCGTACCACGTGCCACGGTCCTTCACCTTCAGTCCTTCTTCCCCAGCCTTCCATCCGCTGTTTTTTCCTTTGCTGGTTGAGATCTCCCGGCCGCTTTCTGCCTTCCAGCTCACTCCGTCCTCACTCTGCCTTGCCCTCATCCTGCCCAGACCAGTCCCGTGACAGTGACCGGAACCACACTTCCGAGAGAGTGGTTTCTTGCATCCTATCGAAGCTTGTGCAATGTGCCCTGACAGGAAGTGACCAGGCCCCCTCCCATCCCTGTTCCCTCATCGCCCAAAGCCTCTACCAAGTTTGAATGTGTTGAGGAAGAGTGTAAGATAGGATCCCGCTAATACTGCTTGAGGTGCAGTTGTTACTGTGGTCTGACTGTTGACTGACACCTCAGTGGGAAGCAATACGGGTAATGGCAAGGGGCCAACCTCTGGGGACAACTCTGGCTGCTGTCCTCATCCTGTGACGCTGAGCAAGTTACTACCTTCTCCAAGCCTCAGTTTAATCATCATTAAAACAGGGATAATAATTATTTACAGAGTGAGGCTAATAGCAGCCTTGGGTTTCCCACAGGGTTGTCGTAAGGATAAAATACAATAAAAGTACGTGAAAACAGCTCATGAAGCCGGAGTCATTCGTACCCAGGAGTTGGGTGTCCTAGCAAATGTGATTCTGGAAGAACAGATTATCGATACATTTATTAAAAATGTTTATTCATTTATTTTTGAGAAAGAGAGAGAGAGCAAGGAGGGGAGGGGCAGAGAGAAAGAGAAGACAGAATCCCAGGCAGGCTTGTGGGGCTCAAACCCACAAACCATGATTTTGTTCTTCCTCGGCTCTACTCAGTGTATGTGTACGTGAAGGCTGTTCCTTTTAACCCTCTGGGGCAACCTCAAGGTGAACTCGGGGCTGGAGGCTCCGGTCCTAGGCTTCTGCTTTGCCGTGCTGGTGAGCCAGGCGGTCCTTTGGTGGAAGGAGGGAGCAGAGAGGACGAGAGGACACGCATGCAGCTACTCCCTGTTCCTCGGGTGCTGGGGGTCCTAGGCTCTCAAGTTCCTGCTTCAGGCAAGCTGCTCCCCATCTGTCCTTGTCTGTAAAACAGGGATGACACGTTAGCAGTCAAGATAGAAGTTGATCAGGGCCCAGAGTGGCTCAGTTGGTTAAGGATCCAACTTTGGCTCAGGTCATAATCTCTCAGCCTGTGAGTTCGAGCCCCGCATCGGGCTCTGTGCTGTCAGGTCAGAGCCTGGAGCCTGCTTCAGATTCTGTGTGTGTGTCTGTCTCTGCCCCTCCCCAAATCAGGTTCTGTCTCTGTTTCAAAAATGAATAAACGTTAAAGAAAAAAAGACAGAAGTTGATGTTTTGGGCCATTTTTGGTTTTAAAACCTAGGCTTTCTTTCTCCTCTCAGAACAAGTAATTCTTTGCTTCTTCCTAAATTGGGAAGCTTGGCAGCAAGTAAACTTCTAAGCTGCTTTTCTTTTCTCAGAACAAGTGTTTCCACACTTGCCCTGGCCTCGGAGGCCCTGGACGGTTGCACAGTGCAAGCACTGACTGCTACCCAAGTCACACTGCTGAGCTCCTGCTGCTGAGGCTGTCAGAGCTCCGAATGACCTGTTCTCCAACGAGGTATTTGGCCAATATGAGGACGTCTTCTATAAGATACACTTTCTTGTGGAGCGTTTGAATAAACTCATTCATTTTCTTGAATTTTGGTAAATTTTGTTTCTGAACTAAAAGATGTTTCTTAGGAAGTGATTTCTTTTCATATCACTCGTTAGCTGCGTCTTAGTCATCATGTGTATGAGATTTTGTAATCACAGACTTTGTTCTTAAAAGGATAAATAGTCCATTCTACTAGCAAACAGCCTGTACAGAAATGTGTGTGACTCAATGGCTGTGTGTGCTCCATATTGCTTAAGACTGCTGGCTGTGAGACTCTGGACCGAGGTCAAGGGGCCACCTGGCCAGGGCAGGCTCCCCGCCCTCTCCGGTTCCACCAACCCTCATAGCTCTGGCCGCACTGACCTAATCCGTTCACTTAGCTTGCTGTGTTGTTGTATCAGCTGCCTATCGCCGTGAACAAATCACCCGAACGCTTGGCAAGTTAAAACAACATTCATTGTGTCACCCAGTTTTCTGAGGACTGGGAATCTGAGCGTGGTTGCCAGGGCAATTTTGGCTCAATCTTTCACAAGGGTGTGGTCCACCTGATGGCCAGGATGCAGTCATTTGAGGCTTTCCTGGTGCTGGAAGGTGGCTTCCAGGGGATGCCTTCACCTGGCTGTTGGCAAGAGAGTTCAGCTCTTCACCGTGTGGACCCTGGGATGGCCCAAGGGTGTGAATTCCAGTGGACAGGGGTCTTCCAGGGTCTCCTTGGAGCCTGCAACCATAGTGATGATTATGGAAGATGTGTGTTCACATCTGTTCAGCAAAACCCGGCCCTATGAGCCTGACCTCCCTGCTCACGCGACCCTAACCCTTCCTGGTGCTGCATTAATCTGCACAGTGTTTACTTAAGGAACAGAAAGTCAGCCTGTGCGTCTTCCTTAGAGCTTCTATTTGAAGATGAAGAAGGGACTGCCTTTGGGGTCATGAGGAGCATGGATCGCGCAGGCTCCCCTTTCCCCCCGAGAGCCAACCACGGGTGGGGAAAAGGAGGCCCGTGTGTGAAGGGGCAGAGGCTGCGGGTGAGGCTTTATACGACCTGGTTTGCAGCCCTGGATCCAGTCACAGCAGGTGCGACCCCCTACCTCGTCTCCTCATGAGCCACCCCTTTTCTTCGGATGCAAGTTTACCTTGGGGTTTTGGGTTTTTGTTGGTCTAAGTTGGGGTTTGTCCAGGTCCACTAGCTACTGGGGAGTCGTCACCGGCCAGAGGCCTGGAGTCTCTCGCTCCATAGCCCCCCAGCGTAGCTTTGGAAGTTTTGTGTGGGTTCAGCTACAGGAAAGCGGGACCGTGTCTGGATGTGCAGTTTATAGCTATCCCTGGAAGTCACTAGCTTGCTATCTCCCTGGCCCCAGGGGTTACTTGTTTGGGCAAATGATAAGACACTTGAAGGAAGAAGGCGCTCACTTTTTGTATATGGTCCCCCAGACGCTGTCTCAGATGACTGCCGTGTAGCCCACAGGGTCCTCTGCTTGCTCGTTTCTAGGGTGCAGCCAGTGCTCGGGGCCGCTGTGTCCCCACCCCCTCATCCGCAGCCTGCAGTTGTCCGCTGAGTGACTCCATTCCGGGAGGCTGGGCAGAGCTTGCTGCTCCCCTGGACGAGGGCCGTCCTGGGGGTCTGTGCCCTTCGTTAGGCCTCAGGGTGCTCACCAGCTTGCCGGGCCCAGATGCTCGGTGTCTGTGGCTGTTAGGGCTTTTCAGCAAATCAGCGGTGGACCTGTTTCTGTAGAAGTTCCCGTGAACCCCACTGAATTTGGACAGCCACAGTGTCCCAGGAGAAAGACATGGCGACAGGCGACTGCTCCCACCTGTCCCTCCCTCTTCTGCTAGCCTGCTAACCTGGCCTTCGCTCACTGAGAACTTCTCACTCCGGTGCTCGGAGGTTGCTGGCGCGTTCCTGGGTGTTCTGTAATGCGGAACGAAAAGAGAAGGGACAAAAATAGGTCAAAAGAAAGGATGAGACACGGATGGATAGAGGAAAGACCACCCCCCCCCCGAACCGTTACTAGTTCTAAAGTAAAGATGGGCAGAGAGAGGAGGGTGAAAGGGCAGGTGGTGAGTTTTGGGCGATTGGTGAGAGGCCCTCAAAGCAGTTGCCAACAATGAAAACTGGAGAAAAAAGATTTTTGTGGGATCAAAAGAAATTGCCGTTAGCAGGTACTTACTCTGTGGCCGTGACCTAGGTGCCGGGACGCAGCAGGGAACAGATGCGTGTCCTCAGTGAGCTTCTGTTCTAGTGAGAAATGGCTCAACCAATTCAGCGAAGCACACGGTTCGTGAGACTGTAGTGGTTCAGAGACAAAGTGTGAGACGGGGCGGTCAGGGCAGGCTTCACAGACAAAGGGACTTTATTATTATTATTAAAATAACCTTTTAAAGGGGCGCCTGGGTGGCTTAGCCGGTTAAGCGTCCGACTTTCGCTTAGGTCATGATCTCGCGGTTCGTGGGTTCGAGCCCCGCGTCGGGCTCTGTGCTGACTGCCAGCTCAGAGCCTGGAGCCTGTTTCAGAGTCTGTGACTCCCTCTCTCTGACCCTCCCCTGTTCACGCTGTCTCTCCCTCTCTCCTAGAAATAAATAAAACATAAAAAAAAATTTAAAAAAAAAAATAACCTTTTAAAAAGTTTATCTATTTGGAGAGTGAGTGAGCAGGGGAGGGGCAAAGAGAGAGAATCCCAAGCAGGCTCTACCCTGTCAGCGCAGAGCCCAGTGTGGAGCTCGAACCCATGAACCGTGAGATCCTGACCTGAGCCGAAACCAAGAGTCGGACACTTAACCGACTGAGCCCCCAGGTGCCTCAAGGTTATAGTTTCATGAGCAGAATAAACAAAATGACCCAGAGCCCATAGACGATGTATAAAACCACCTGTAGGCGGAATGGAGGGACTAAAGCATTTGCCTGGGAGCTCTGGGGACAGGCGGATGCCAAGGAGCCAGCCTTGCTGGACGGTGTGGGTGCTGCCCGCAGGGTCACTGGAAGATGACACAGTATTCAACACTGACACAGCGGAGCAGCCCAGGAGCTTTGCCTTGCCTTCCCTTTTCGCTGGTAGCATTTCTATGCTTTTATTTCCTGAATACTTTTTAAAGTTTCAAAGTAAAGCTGGGCTTCGGTGACAAAATTTACTAATTCCTCTAATACTGAGCACCCCTGCTGTCCCCAGTACCGTAGAATTGTGTTTTGAAAGATACGCGTACCCAGAAAGCACGGTCTCGGTCTCCGACCAGGGCCGCTGACGCGGGGAGGGCCGAGCGTCCCCAGGCTGCCCGCTCAAGGAGGGTCCCGAGCCACCGACGTCCTCTGGGTCTCTGCAGCCCAGGCCTGGGCCAGGACGGCCCCTCCGGGACACCCACCCCCGGAGGTGCGTCGGTGACGTGCGGGACAGCTCCAGGGGCAGCCGCTGGCTCCAGGCTCCTCTCTCCTGCCACCTGCCTCTCACCCTTTCCCCGGACTCAGTGGAACCCCTTCTCTCTCCCCCCTTCCTTCGTTCACTTGTACACCTTCCAGTCTGGTGACATGCAGCTCAACCTTCCAGACCCCAGGGCTCTACGTTGCCTTCTTGAGAACAGCTACCTTTGCTGACCGCCTGCAGCCGTGCCCTCCAAACTGCCAGACTTTGCTGACCCCTCCAAAAAAGGTCTTGGGGGGCCTCGGAGGGTCCTGGACCACAGCTGGGGAACCCATGGTCTCAATCATGGCTATTCTAATGTTGCTAGGATTATTTTTTTTAAATCAAAGATGTGAATTTTATTCATTTTTTAAAAGGGGATCTTAGGGGGCACCTCGGTGGCTTAGTCAGTGTGGTGTCCAACTTTGGCTCAAGTCATGATCTCACGGTTCGTGAATTCAAGTCCTGCGTCGGGCTCTGTGCGGACAGCTCAGAGCCTGGAGCCTGCTTTGGATTCTGTGTCTCCCTCTCTCTCTCTGTTCCTCCCCTGCTCACGCCCTGTCTCCTTCTCTTTTAAAAATAAAGATTAAAAAAATAATAATAAAAAGGGAACTTAGGGTGCCTGGCTGGCTCAGTCGGAAGAGCATGTGATTCTTAATCTCACAGTCATGCCCCACATTTGGTGCAGAGATTACTAAAAATAATAATAATAATAATAAACTGAAAAAAGAAAAGGGACCAAGGTTAGATTCAAGATGATCGTCGAGAGCTCCTCTTCAGCTAAAGGCATCTTGAAGCACCCACAGGGTCAGTTCAGGGATTTGTTATGAAACCTTCACTGAATTCGGCATTAGTGACAGGCCCCGGATGGAGCGTCCCGGAGACGGAGCACTGCGGTTGCCGCCGGGGCTGGCGTGCTAGCCGCTTTACCCCGCTGAGCAGTAGAGCCCGGCTGTTCCTCTTCCACGGCGGCGCTTCCAGGGACTGCAAAGGGCAAAGCCTCGGTGCCTCCTTCACAAACCCCAGAGGGGCTGCAGGCAGGTTTGGCATCGCTTCCTGACCATGACCCACCCAAGCTTCTGGAATGTTCTATGCCAGCTGCAGAGCCACAAGAGCTTCTGAGGGCTGTGCGGTGCCTGTGCGGTAGCGCTGTCCGGCACACGGTGGGCCCCCATGTATCTCTTGAATGAGTATACATTTCATCTCCCAGCTTCGCGAGCCCTGTGCTTTCTGCAAGCTGACGTTCATTACATAAAACACATTATGCAATATTATGACAGCCTCACTAGGAAAAAAGTCTTAGGAAGACTTATTTTTACTCCGAACCTTTCTAGTTGGATTTGTGAGAAATTGACCGAAGAAAAGAATACTTCATATACACAGGGGCACCTGGGTGGCTCAGGCAGGTAAGCGTCCGACTTTGACTCAGGTGGTGACCTCGTGGTTGTGGGTTCGAGCCCCGCATCCATCGGGCTCTGAGCAGTCAGCACAGAGCCTGTTTCTGATTCTGTCTCCCTCTCTCTCTGCCCCTCCCTTGCTTGCTCTCTGTCTTTCTAAGTCTCATATACATTTAAAAAAAAAATGACAAACCCTGGTAGGCTACAGAAAAAATACCAGGTACAAGGTTTTAAAAATGATGGAGTAGCTTTGGCGTTCCTGGGGTCAGGGGTCCCAGGGACATCTGAATCTTGATTCACACCGCAGTTCTTCCCTCGCTTGAGGTTTGGGAGGGCCATGCATCACAAGCTACAGTCGCTGGAAAGCAAGGCACGTAATTATTTATTGTGAAGCCACCATGGCTAATGCCGGAGAGCACGGGTTGGCCACAGGGCTGAGGCTGGGCCGGCTTGGCCTTGGGGGTAGAGGCCGAAGGGAAGGGGTCAGCATGTGGGCCTGCTCTGGCCACTTCTGCCACTTGTGTAGAAAAGGAAGTAGAAAGAAAACAAGGTGGCTGGGCTGCTTCCCTTTCAGTTTTGCAAGTAGGAGAAAGCCTCCCTCCCCCGTGCACGGTCACTCTCTCAGTCCACGCCAGAGGGCCGGTGTCCCGGGGAGGCTGAGTCACGTTGAGCCGCTTGGCTGGGTACGAGGAGGACACATGATTTCCTCTCTGGGAGGGCATCGAACATCACCAGGGCGCTGGAGTTTTCCAAAGCCACACGTGGCTTGTGTTTAATCATCAACCAGCTTCTTTTGGTTCCAGGGGAACAGGGACACGCTGCCACGGAACTGCTTCCACCAGGGTTTTGTTTCTTGCATCAGGAGCCCTTGGTGGCCGCAGGTGACCGCACCGAAGAGAACAGGCCTCCCGGGAAAGCCTGTGCACAGCTGCCCCGTGGGGACCGAGATGAGGAAGCTGCAGATTGAGAGGTTTTGTTTGGCCCGCGCGTTGGGCAAATTGTTTTTCTTGAAATGTCCTGTGGGGATGTAGTTTCCATGGGAACGGGGAGGGTGCGGCAATGCTGGCTGTCCCGCCGCCTCCCGCAGGCCCCCAGCCTCATCCATGCCGTTTGCCACCTGCCCTGCTCTCCTCCTCTGCCAGCCGCACCACTTCCCCGTCCCCCTTCCTGTTTCTCTTTTCTCTGGAACTATTGCAACAGCTTCCCACCTGGCCTCTCATCATGGTCTCATCCTTCATGCGGTTTCAAAAGTGGCATTTTAAAACAGGACTCCGGGGGCCCCAGGGAGGCTCAGTCGGTTGAGCATCCGACTTCGGCTCAGGTCATGATCTCACAGTTCGTGGGGTCGAGCCCTGCGTTGGGCTCTGTGCTGACAGCTCAGAGCCTGGAGCCTGCTTCGGATTCTGTCTCTCTCTCTCCTCTCTCTCTCTGTGTCCCTGCGCTGCTTGTGCTCTGTCTCCTCTCTCAAAAATAAACTTAAAAAAAAAAATCACTTGTGAGCCTGCGAGGCCTCACCTGCACCTAGCTACCTCTCTGCTGCCGCCCCTGCACCCGCATCCGCCCATCACCCACATGGAGGCGCAAGCATCTTGGACTTAATTGTATAAAACTAAACTCCCAGTTTTTCCGCCGAAAGCTCTACCTCCCCTCCCCTGGAGTCCTTCCGTCCAGTGCTGACTTCATCCCGGACCCTTCTCTCTTACAGCCCACAAGGTCCTGCCAACTCTGCCTTCACAACACATCCCGGCCCCAACTGCCTCGTGGGCCCCGACGGCACTGCAGCCTCGCACCGCCTTCTCTGTGCCCTCGTCTTCTCCGGAGCGACGCTTCAACGGTAGGTCGGGTCAGGGCTCATGTCCCTGCACCCCTGCAGTGGCTTAGCTTTTTACTCGGGGGTGACCTCCCAATGCCGAGTGGGGCCCTTGCTCAGCCGCCTCCCTCATCTCACGTGCCTGGACTTCGCTCTGTGCTTGTGGGGCCCCTTCCTGCCCAACCTGGGGTGCTCTTCTCCGAATCACGCCCAGCTTCTCCACCCTGGGGTTCTCCTCAAAGATCATCTTATCTGAGTTCCTCACCAACCAGCTTACGCTGAACAGCGTCCCTTCTCTAACCCCAGGTCCCCTGTATTTAATACAGGTCTTACGACAGTGCTGAAAACACAGTGGGCACTTACAAGTTGAACTATGTGTCGAACACCGCCCCTTGAGCCACCGCACACTCTCCAACTTAGGGGCACCGGTTAGTTTGCTTCTTTGCCCAGGGCTGTCGAACAGAAACTGAGCGCAGCCAGGGTGGCAGTTAAAACTTCCCAGCACTTGGAGTGCCTGGCGGGCACCGTTGGTAGAGCATCCAATTCTTGATCTCAGGGTCATGAGTTCGAGGCCCATGTTGGGTATGCATCCTGCTTAAACAAAGTAAAATTTCTTAGGAATAAAAATAAGATTTCCTGGTAGCAATGATTAGGAAAACAAAGACATAAAATTAGTTTCAAAGCCACGTTTTATTTAAGGCCATTATCCAAAATACTATTACTTCCACATGCAATAAATATGAAACATTTTTTTTTTGAGGGGCGCCTGGGTGGCTCAGTCCATTGGGTGTCCCACTTCAGCTCATGTCATGATCTCACAGTTCGTGAGTTCGAGCCCCGCGTTGGGCTCTGCGCTGACAGCTCGGAGCCTGGAGCCGCTTCAGATTCTGCGTCTCCCTCTCTCTCTGCCCCTCTCCCACTTATGCTCTGTTTCTCTTTGTCTCAAAAATAAACAAACATAAAAAAATAAAAAAAAAACTTTTTTTGGGAAATATTTTACATTATTTTCTTCTTCATGCTAAGCCTGAAACCTGGTATTTTATATTCACAGTACATGTCAGTTTGGACTCACATCTCTAGCGCTTAGCTGTCCTTTGCGGCTAGAAGCTATCATATTGGACAGCGGACCTCGAATGTTCTCCCATCTACTCACCTCCTCCTCAGACTCTGACAGCAGTTCAAGTGTAACACCTTACGGAAATCTTTTGCAAGCCACTCCCCGGACCAGGCCTGGTTTTCACTCCGTATTCTTTCATAACTCCTTGTGCGTTTCTTTCAAAGTGCTCACTGTGTGGCTGCTTGTAAACCTGTTTTCCCTGCGAGTCGACTCGCCGCGGTCCCGTGGTCCTCCCGGGGCTGGATAGCGTCTGGCTCGTGGCAATAACCATTTCTGAATAAATGCATGAAACGGCTTCTTTCTCTTTACTACGCATCTACTGTAGTCCGTACTATTAGGTTGTTTTTGTTAAAATTCTTTGCTTTTACCTTGGCAGACTATTTCCAAGGCAAATTCCCTCCAGAGAGCATTTGATTGGCTAAGGTCAGTGTTTCTGAAAATTTCCTAACGAGGAGTATTGTCAGAGACCAAAATAAAAAATGCGAATTCCTCGTTCCCTCCACCTAGATTTACGCAAGTGAGCGTGGGGTCTGGCGTCCCAGTCGTATCCGTTTTTCCAGGCAGTTGTCACAGTGAGACGGACACGGGGACCCTGGGCCGTCATTCCGTGCGTGCTCGACAGACCGCGGCGCCTGGAAGGCAGCCGCCGCGGAGGCGCTGCCGGCCCCGGGACAAGCGCCGCGCACACCCGTCACGCGGTCCTCCCGGCGGCTCCCGCCTCCACGCGCCGCCGCGGCCGCCGCCCCGGCCGCATGCGGAGCACCGCGCGCGCCTCGCCTTAACCACAGGGCAGGGGCGCGACGGCCGCGGTCCGCCCGCACGAGCGCGCGCCGGCGGGGGCTCGGACGAAGGGCCGAGGCTGCCGGGCGGCGGCCCAACTCTGGGGACGCGGCTTCAGGAGCGCACAGCGGGGACCTCGTCTTCGAGCTCCGGGGACCCTGGCGTTCGACCGTTCCCCTAGCCGCTTCCGGCGTTTGGAAAGACCAATCGTCGCGTCCGAGAACAAAACACCCGCCCCCTCTTCGAAGGAAGCAGCCAATCCAGCCGTTCGTTACCATAAGGTCCCGTGCGCCCGGACGCACGACCTTGACCAATCCGTCCCGGAACGTCCTCTGGTCCCGCCCCAGGCCTGTCACCGAAGCCGTCCCTCTCGCAGCCGCCCCTTCACCCCCGCCGGCGCACTTCCTCCCCGACGCCGTGACGTGCGCAGCCCTGTGCCCGGCCGCAGCGGGCCAATGGAGGAGGCGGATACGGCGGGCCAATGGGCGGCGGCGTCTCATGCGGCCGGCGCCCGCCGCAGCCGCCGCCGGGTCCGGGAGCCAGAGGCCGCGGAGCCGGAGCGCGATGGAGCGAGGGCCCCAGGCGGGGAGGCGCCGCCGCCGAGCGCGCGGCCCGACGTCCCCTCAGTGAGTGCCCGCGCCGCCGCGGCGCCGCCCGAGCCTGGCCGCGCCCGAGGGGCGGGCTCGCCTCCCGCCGGCCTCGCCGCTTCGCCGGCGCTCGGAGCCCGCCGCCGCCGCCGCCGCCTTCCCGCTCGGGCCGGGAGACGGGCCGGGGCTGCATGGCCTCGCCCGCGCGCCGCCGCTGAGCCCGCGGAGCCGCGCAGCCGGGAGCCGGTGAGAGCCGCCGCGGGCCGGGGCAGGGGTCGGGGCGGGCACCCGGGCGTGGGGCCGCCTTGAGGCCTGCAGGCCTCCTCTCCTGGCGGAGCAGCGCGACAGGCGCCCGTGGGCCTGAGGGGCCGACATGGGGTTCCGGGGGGCCCGGGCACCATGAGGGGCTGACGGGGGCTCTTGGGAGTCTGGAGTGGGGGGGGCGGGCAGTCGTTGAGGGCCGACGCTGGGCTGCGGGTGAGTCTGGGGGCCCCGAAGCCGCCGCGAGGGGCTCCTAGTGCGCCAGGAGGCCCCGGGGCAGTCGTGAGGGGCTCCGGGCGGGCCTAGGGGCCCCCGGGGCAGCCGTGGGGGCTCCAGGTGGGGTTATGGGTGGGCCTCCGGGGCCAGGGGCAGCCGTGAAGGAGCTGACGGGGGCTCTGGCTAGTCCTGGGGGCCCAGACAGCCGTGAGGGGCTGGCGGGGGCTCCTGGTGGGCCTGGGGGGTGCCCTGGGCAGCCGTGAGGGTTTGAGAGTGCGCTTGGGGGACTTGGGAGGGCCCGGCGCAGTCGTGAGGGGCCGGCGGGGGCCCCGGGCACCGGGGGAGCGGGTGCGCCGACCTCTGACCCGAGGGAGGGGTGCATTCGCAGTGTCGGTTGTAGTTGTTATTCCCAGCGTCCCTATTATTATCACTGTTTTGAAACGGGAGCAGGCAGCTCTCGGGCTCCGAGCCGGAGGGGGCGGGCGAGCCGGAGTCAGGAAGGGAGAGTGGGGGCGCCGGGGGTGCAGGCGGCGCGCGTAGGCCCGCGGAGGGGCAGGAATGCGGGGCAGCGGCGCGGGGGTGTCGTCTGGGGGGAGGGTAGGCGGGACTGAGGGGCGGGTGGGAGGGAAGCGGTGGCGGTGGCGGCTGCAACAGCAGTCCTTGGCCTCAAGGAACAATGTGAGACGTTGCCTGAAATGTTAATTTCCGTTCCTCATTTCATCATCCCCTGGCAGGGCGGTAGCTGTGAGTGAGTGAGTGTGTGTGTGTGTGTGTGTGCGCGCGCGCGCGCGCGTGTGTAGGGCTGGCCATGCCACATGGATTCAGGCTTCTCTCAAAGACGGATTGTGCTGTTAAATTTTGTGTCTTTGCTGTTTGGGGGTGGGGGGAGGTGAGGAACTCTTCCGTTTTTCTTGAGGTCTGTTCTTTTCCTGGTGCCTCCTCAAGGTTTACTGCTTCTGTTGTTCTTTCGGAAAGCTCGCCTGTATCCCGGCTTCCAAGGATTTTTGGAAGAGGCTTTGGAAGATTAAGCTGGCCTAAGCTGGCCCTGTGCTTTGAAAACCATTTTCTCTCCAGCAGTTAAGATGCAGCACGCCTAGGTTTCACGGTGTCTACAGGTTATATAGGAAGTTTTATATCCCTTTGCAAGAACAGGATGGTTTTGCAGATTTCCTGGTGGAAAAAATCAGATTGCAGCCTTTTTCTTTCAGGTGGCAGTTTTTAAAGTGATTTGAGCAGTATCCTCAATATTCCTTTCAAACTGAGGAGTGAAAGTGTGCACAGTTGTTGAATTGTAAATCTTGGAATGTTTTGGTACCTGTGGCGGAATGATGAGCCGGGCTCAGCAAAGCGATGTAACGGGATATTGCTGGTGGAAACAGTGAAGTTGAAACAGTTGCTATTTTGGTTCTGCAAACCCGGTCAATGGCATAGCTCGAATAGTTTAAATCAGAGACCCCAGGACTGTGGGCTTGATTCCTTTGGGGACCCTGATTTCTCTTACTAAATGTTGTCCTGGAAGATCTGCTCTGTTTCGTGTCTTTGGAGCCCAGTATTCTGACATTCCTTTGAAACTGTAGTTAAAAAAAGAAGAAAGGAAAAACATCTTGCTCAACTTTGATTGTGACTCTTGAATTGGATCCCTATCTGGCGGTTTCCTCCCCCACCCTCCATTCAGCTGTTCTCTCTGTAGTTCTGTGCTCTGGAGCAGGGTCTCAGCTGATAGGCTGGCCCTCCTGAATGGATGGGAGGAACAAAGACCAAGTAACTTTGACATTCTTGTGTCCTTTGTGCACGCCTTCTGAGTTAGTTAAAAAGCTACCTCAAAATATCGATAAATTTGATTCAACTTTAAAACTTTGAGTTTTTTCCTCTCTTTTTAAAAATTGTGGCAAAATATACGTAATTTTACCAGAAGTGTGTTTTTAAAGGAGTCACACGGTCTCGAGTTCCTCATTTGCAGTTCTGACTTTGTGTCAGCCGTCTCACTTGCATGGCCCTGTCAGATATTCTAGATCCTCTGTGGACCAGCCACGCTAAACACGGCGCCAGTGCCGTTCATCTCCCCAAACCAGATGGGCTGCTTACCACGCGAGCCTGTCATGTTAGCTGTAATTACAGGGTTGATACAGCGACAAGTAGAACTTTCCACAGACAGAGTTAAACTCTGTTGTTTGTATTTGAGAATATTTTTCTAGAAGCTTTGTGTGCCTTGGGTTTTTAAGTATATTTTCGATACAGTAAAGTTATGTTTTATCCATTGTGACAGGAGAGAGATTTTGCATTATGAGCAGTGAGCCCATTATCAATTACATAACATAATTAGGGAGCGGCACTAAATGCTGGTTCAGAGCATAATCTGCATTTGTTGCCAAAATAAGTTTGTTGACCTGCCCTTTGCCATGTGTAGGGCCCCTCCTCCCTCAGACGGTAAGTGTGGTGGGCGAGCTCCCTCCAGAGCCAGAGTGGGGTGTCCGCTGGTAGGTGAGGTGCTCGCCGCTTGCTGTGTCCCTGTATTACTGCTATTTGGTCCGTGCTCTGTGCGGAATTCGCATGGCCCGTTTGATGAACTTCCTGATGAAATGAAATGAACTCAAATAACTAAAAGTTATTGTCTGGACATTTTTTTACCATGTGTTTTCTGATTTGTTTTGTGTTTATTGTTGAGAGCATGAGCGGGGGAGGGGCAGAGCACACGAGAGTGAGGGACTCTGAAGCAGCTCCAGGCTCTGAGTTGTCAGCACAGAGCTCGATGTGGGGTTTGAACCCACAGATCGTGAGATTATGACTTTAGCTGAAGTTGGACACCTAACCGGCTGAGCTACCCAGGTGCCCCAGTATGTGTTCTCTTAGTTGTATTTCAAATGGATTTTTTGGGTGAAATTCTATTTTTCCAGTTTTATTTCACAGCTATGTGAAAGAAGGGGTCAATCCTCAGCTCCTGGAACTCTGGCAGTTAGAGAGAATCAGCATGGAAGGCCTAAAAGGCTTAGGAAGTTATCCGCTTTAACAACTACTTTGTTAACTATGATAAAGACGTTTCCATTCCAGAGTGGTTCTTTTTCTGTTTGATAGGTCTTATTCATGGTATCTTTTAAGTTAAGTCAGACCAAGCCATGTGTTTCCTTGTCGGTTTTCCTTATTCTTCTGTACGTAACTCTGTTCCTCCCCGTCCACATTTAAAACTTTCTTTAAATAGTGTTTTATATGTGCAGTAGAACTACAAATGTTATTTTTATGGTAAGGTCCCACGTGATGATTAACCCTAATTGTATGACCTCTTTCCCTCTCTAATCCCCCATCACTCTCCCTCTTAACTCTGGGTGCTTTGGCTACATTGGCTTTCCATTTCCTGGATTGGGACATGGGCCTTATTCTCTCATGGCCTCAACGCATGCTGGTCCTCTGTTGGGATCAGCACCCATCGTTGCCTCCCTTGCAAATCTTTCCCCTTCCAAATCTACAGGATGACTCCCTCTAAGCCTCTGGGTCTTAGTTAAATATTCACTCCCAAGGAACATGCCACCCTACCTTGTTAGAGCCATATAAACCCAATTCGGGGCCTGGGCGGCTTGTTTTCAGCACGGGTCATGATCCCAGGGTTGTGGGATTGAGCCCCGCGTTGTGCTCTGTGCTGAGCGAGGAGCCTGTTTGAGATATTCTTCCTCCCCCCACCCTTTGTGTCTCTTTGTCTCTCTCTCCTTCCCCTTCCCCCTCCCCTCCCCCCATCTCTCTCCTCTTGCCCCCCTCCTCTGCCCTTCTCAGCTTGTATTTCTCTCTCAAATACATTAATAAATACATAAATACAAAAGAACTTAGCATAGTTGATAGACTATGCAGTGACTGGTTTACATCTGCCCTGTGAAAGAAGGGCTGCATGCTTAATGACAATAGGGATGGTCTCTGTGATCGCAGTCATAGAATTAACCCAAGAAATACTTGTTGGATTGTTTAAAGACAATATATGGAAATATAGTATTTGTGTAATTTTGGAAGGAGAAACTTGGGATGGTAAACTTTCATTTATTTGACTACAAATAATGCTGTGTGATTTCAGCCATTTTTCCACTTGTTTTCATTATGTTTTCTTTACACTTTAGATAAAGGTATGGGATATGGCTTTTAAAATTGGCACAGAACAACACATAAAGGAAAATAATTAACGAGAAGGTTGTCTTTGTGAGAAGGAAAAAAAATGCCTCCTGGAACTAGTTTTAGTAGGATTGGTGCTTTCAGGGCCAAGGTGAAGGCTTGCCGAGTGCAGTTTGCTGCTGCTGTATTTCATTTAGAACGTTGAGCACCTTCTGGCCCCTTGTAACATAAGCAGTGGTTTAGTATGATAGTGGAGTACTTGGAAAGTTTTAGTATTTTTTCTTCCTTTTTTTTTTTTTTTTAATTCCTAAGCTATTATAACATAAATGATCCTGAGCTTTGAGGCCAAAGCTTCTGTTTAAATTCTCCAGAATGGAGTTGGCCCCTTAATGTCCTTCCTACCCCAGTTTTAGCATTTTGATGACCAAAAAAAATTTCTTTGGAGGGGAATACACCAAAATGGAACTGTGTGTTATTTCCCCCCCACTTGTGTTTTTTGATTTAAAAAAAAATGAACTTGTTATGTAATTGGCAAAAAGATTGCTTCTGAAGAGACTAATTATGGGTATAATTTGGGTGACAAGAGACTTGAGTTTTGGGGTTGGTTAAGAGTGTGCTGAATTTGTGTGGTTTTAACTTCTTTGGTAAGTAAGGGGTGAGGGGAATTGGTTGTGGTTGAA